TTTGTTTAGTTTGTCAACGTTTTTCGTTAGTATCTACTATGTCTAAAAGCTATTGCATAAACATTTTTGAATAAGATATAGACCGCTGTTACTTAAGGTTGAAAATATGATTTTTTTATTTCGAAAGGGAAGGAGTGAAATTTTGACCCAATTAAGTACCTTTTGGTTACTATTTTAATCAATAGATTTGTCATTTGCTACTTGAAGAAATCAGTTAAGCTGTTTAAAAGATAAACTGTGGGTTCAGACACAAAACGAAAATTAATTAAAAAACACACCATTGTAAAATTAATATCTCAGCTGCTCATCTAAGCTAAACATATAAATCCAGAAATATGATAAATGTACTATTCATTCACATTTTATATTATATAATATAAATTATTTTTATTGTATATTTCATATATTATTATAATACAGTAGTGTTCCGATCATAAAAACCTCTCGCCTACACCAAAATACAAATTTTAACCCTTGAAATCTATTGTTTTCATTCCATATAGTTTTTATGAATTGTATTGCATTGTGTTTTGCAGCAGTCATAACATGTGATATGTGAATCTATATACGCGTTTAAAGAAAAAAACACACAAATATTTTGGCTTTATGGATTTCAATTCAAAATTAAAACGAATGTATTAATATTGTATTTTTTATGCTTAATTTATTATTTATCTATGTGATAAATATCACTTAATTTTTGTAATTAATTAAATTCTCATTTCGAGTAATTAAATTTTAAATTAATTACCCAAGCTATAATAATTGTTTTAGTAATTACAAATTTGGTATTACAATATATTAATCACTTAATTATTTATTTTACAATGTAATTTAATATTTGTACAGAGACTATGGTTTCATTTTAAAAATATTTATTTGAACAAGATAATGCAATTTTTGGACAATAAATACGTTTTTTTTTATACTAGATATAATAATATGTGGGTTATTCTGGAATGTCCTATACGATTTCAAGTAAGTAATTGCTATTTATTACCAGCGTAGGATATTACAATTTAATATACAAATTATTGTAAGTGAACATTTTGAGACGTTAGTTTTTTTAGTAGTTATTTATTTGGGATAGTGTTTGTCCAGTACTCTCGCATCACGGGGTTATTTACTCGATATTATACCTTTATTAGGTCAATGATAGGTATAGTATACCTATAGCAATATTTGAAGTCTTAACATTAAGAGTGGCAGCTCTGTCAACTATTTCATGACCTGTTACCACAAGGGTTGTATTGAAGGATACTAATATATAGTAACAGACACTATTAGTTTTGGCAAAACGTTTTGAACATTTTTCGTCTCACAAAAATTTAATTTATTTGAAGGAAAAAAAGTATTTTGACTAATTTATTTTATTGTTGAGAGACAAAATTTGTTAATGTTTAATATATTAAAATAATACATTGCTAAAAAGCATGTTCATCAACTTGATTTTTAAATAAAAAAGCATACTATCATTAAATACAAATTTCGCTTTGTCAATCAAACTTTATGTACTATTATTATTTCTCTGGGTCGTAGAGTTGTTTTGAAATTCATAGAAATGAATTTGCCGACCGCTTAGCTTAGTCAACAACCAATATAAACTTCTCATAACCACAACATCCAAACTTGCTTTGGTAGATTTCCCTCAAATATTAAGCCGCCATGTCTATGACCTTTGGTCTTTGTACCGTAATAGTTTACCAACAAACTCGGTCTTAAAATATAGAAACATTTTCCTAATACAATAATCCTAAATAAACCTTGTTTTAAAATTCTAAGTTTATCTTGGGTTTTAGTTCAGCCCATTACAATCGTATATTTACCTTCACCTGCTTATAAATTCTCCCTAAACAATTCTCCTATGCATACCCTCAATTAGAATGAATTAGATATTCACAAAATAATTATTTATAATAAAACACGAGTGAAAATAAATATCGATATGGAGTTATTTTAACCATTTTTTTTATAGCGTGCCAACAATAATTCGTAAAAATATTTTTCACCGTATGTGAACTTTTCCTCGCTAACCAATTCAATACTAACTAAATACACGGTATTGAATTAACAATATTAATTGTATTTTTTTATGCGTTATTTACTGGGGTCAAATATAACGTATAATAAAATGATTATTAATATTATAAGGTAGTAATAAAAAAAACTAGTAATCAATTATTTTTCAATTAATCATTGTTGGATATTAGTACATATTTTCAAATCCTGGTAGGTATATTGCCTATGATGAGACAATAAATTCGAACACACTGTTTCATCTCAATACCCATTAATATATTATTTTATTTTAATAAATGTGAACAAATTCCACTAACATGACGCGTCCACGAAATTAATTTTAAAACAATTATTTTTAAATTAAACTAAAAAGCGTTCACATTGTTTAAAAATCCTAGAAGTAATAATATTTAACGCTAATTATAGTTTATTTATAGAAAAAGAGACAAATTAGAGTTTATATAAATTGAACGTATGACATAAATTAATAAATAAACTTTAATAATAGGAATTTTATACTTATTAAAATATATTAATAACAATTAATTTATGACTATAAAAATATATTTTACAAATACCTTCACAGTTTTGTGTCAATGTAAAAAAAGTCAGTACTTTAATCAATAATTGCAAAATATTATAAAATACACAATATGATTTAATGTTTTAATTTTATGATTGCAGGCTCAAAACGAACTTGTTTATGTATTTTAAAGAAATTCTTTCAGTATACACATAAAACCGTCCTATTTCATTACGATTTTTTATTTACAACAATTATTTATTATTATTATTATTATTTATTTTTTATTTACAGCAATTTTAATTCCTCAATACAATGACACTGCAATTTTAGCCTTTCTATCGTATACATTTTTTTTTTTTACATAAGCATTTAAAGTTTAAACCATATTGATGAAAGGGTCGATTAAATGGTGAATTAAACTCAATGGCGTTAAAATCAGTTCAAATTAAATTGCATTGTTTTTTGAATAAAATTTACTACACAATTAATTCATAAATAAATATCACTGGTACCTTTTATTATTCAAAAAACTGTACTTAACTGTAATTAAACGCGTTATAAAATGTCAATTTTTTTTTGATGTGCTAATAAAACACAGCTATTGAGTCGAAGGATAAAAAAAATGAGGCAAAAATAAGGAAAATGGTCCCCGGCGGAAAAACAGCCAAAGTATAGATCGAAATCCACAATATAATGTTCAGCCCCTGTAATTTAATGGACAAAAGCCAAAAGGTTTATGCTGTCCCACAAGACCACGATTTATATGCTATACCACCACTGTACGGTCGCTTCTTTTTTAAACACATTGTCCGGGGATATTAATGATTTCAATTAAAACAATCTACTTGAATCAACATAATCAACATTAATAAATAAACTGATTTCAAATCGTGTACGTAGGATAATCAGATCGTTTAATAGTTTTTATAAATATTACAAACTTAGGATTTTTTTTGTCATACGTTGATTTTGTTTTTACCAAAAAATTATTTTAAACTTACAACAAACAGTTACTTATTTGGAGTCTTTACTATTTGAACCGAGTCTATTATATATTTTATAAATACATAGGTACAAAATACCAATTTATATACTTGTTGAAAATTACTCTATAAAATATAATTATTTATTATATCCTATAATAAATATATATATATATATATATATATATATATTTTTTTTTTTTTATTTAAATATTTCTTAAGATTAAATTATTTCAGTAGCTAGTAAGAAAGTTAGTTAGTAATAATACAAAATTTTGGGTTTCTCAAAATAAACATTTGTTGAAGAGTATTTTTTTTAGACGATTAGACATTCCTTGCAAATATATATTATACTAAGTATCACAAAAAATTACTGGTGAACAACCACTTTAAGATAATTTTTTTTTTATTTAGAATTATATGACCTGACAAGATAAGGGGTTGAGTACCGCGCACAGTTTAAAAAGAAATCAGACTGCATCGCTACCCCAACTCAGACTTCTAAATTATAATAAACTAAGTGCTAAATAATACCAAGAAGTATTGTTTTTTTTATATTATACAGAGTGTCTAACGTTTTTAACAAATTGTCTAAGTAAAATTATCGAAACAGCGTATTTATACACCTGTAAATTCTTTTTGTAAATTTTTTTTAAAAAGTTTCATAACAGCAAACAAAATATCTTACTCGTGTTATAAACTATTATTAAGTAGATAAGCAGTAGATATTAAATTATGAATATTTATCCTGAATTTAACTTATTTGTATTAACATTTAAACACATTGTAAACTGTTTATAAGCAATAGATGCACATACAACCAACTGGTTTTCGTAATTATAGTTGTTTAGTTACGAACGGTGCAGTAATATTTTAACTGTGCTTTAGACCAATTCGAATCAATCACACAAACAAATAATGGTTAAACATTTTACTAGTTTCTTGATGTTAACTAAATTGTAAATTGAACTAACGAAAAGAAGAATAATTATTTTAAAGTTTGCCAATATATACATATTATGTGTAACTAAAGTGCTATTAAGATAAAACTGTGGAGTGTTATAATATATTACACTAGTAAAGAAATATGTATTATTACGAGTAATAATAGTATTTCCTAAATATCATCTTTATTTAAAAACTAACCCCTACTGTCCCCTAAATAAGTGGTGAGTTTCAAAATTAATGATAAATTTGGATTCAATGATCTCGAAGTAGATAAGTATGATATTGTTAATTGTAGACATCACCATCTTGTAGATCGATATTTAAAAGGTATCAATTTAGGCAAGTTAATTTCATATTCCGGCCACTGCATGGCGTTTTATTAGACAAAGAGTCTATAACAGTTATAGGTGAGTATTAAGTTGTTTCAATTAGATATTAAGGTTAATGAAACTTAATTTATTTATCCCGAATTTCCAACATTTATACTTCAATCTACAACCTATATAATTATAATAAAAAATTACTTTTAATTCTCGGTTTCGCTTCACTGTAATCATGAAATGGTTTTCGACACGGTTGACGCGGTTCGTAAGCCAATATCACAAATAAAACAAGCGCATACTAAGTTGGGATGTGTCGATTAAAAAAAATATCCCCTAAGACCGAACGAAAGAATACCGAGTCATCCCGAACACGGCACTCGACTGATGTTGAAACCACGAGGATATCTCGGCTATACTTACATGTAGTTTCCGTATACAACAGTGGCAGCGCGGTGTCGCCACAGTCACTATACAGAGTGATTCACTAACTATAAACCAGTCAATAACATTCAATTCAGATATATTCAAAATGAAACTAAATAATAGGTTCGAGTACTTGTAGTGCATCAATTAATAATATCCAACTTTTTTTTCTCATCCTTATGCCATAAACAAATATCTACTTTTGATTTGGCCAAACAGTCACATATTACAATTTTTATTTTATCCACGAATTCATGAATAACAAAATTAGTTATTTCTTAAATCCACGAATACATAATATTAAATCAAATAAATTACCAAAATTTCGTCTTATCCGTTAAGTATTATAGTTATATTTGTTAAAGTTATGACTAACGGTTTATAGTTTGTCTTAAAGTGCTTTCATAATAATTTATTTTAAATATCACATCGAAATTAGGTGTTACCATTAAAAATCAAAAGTACATATTAACTTAAGGCATAAGAGTGAGAAAAACATATGTTTAATAATATTCATAGATGCACTATAGTTACCTAAATCTATTATATAGTTTTATTTTTATGATGGGGCGGATATAATATTTATTTTAAAACTTCGACTATATTGACAATATAATAACACCATAATATCCCTTTGTGCACTTAACAATTTTAGTTGATATGTATTATATATATTCCCACATGATGTAGGAAAATTGTCATTGGTAATTTTTTTTTTTGCAAAAAAGTTTTTTATTTTTTATATATGTTTAAATTTAAAGGGACTTTCTACACAAAGCATAAATCCAACGTCTGATATTTTTATTTCGGTTTGTTGGACTAACACAATTATTACACGGGACATATATTTAAGGCAGAGGAATAGAAATGGTAGGTGGTAACTCAATTTCGTACAAAACTGAGCAAGTCTCTTTCCGCAATTAGTAATTCATATATTCACAAAGTAAACCCAACGTGTACCTTTGAAATTTATTTCAAAAAATTAAAAATACCATAAAACATTATGTTCATAACAATATTGTATTGATATTATATTATACGTTTTGCTATCCATTGTAAATATTCTTTAAACCTACTAATTTTCAGTAAAACCCCCCAAAAATATCCTAAACCATTTCAAACCGACATTTCTATAAACATTGCAATTTTTTAATTTGGATTATTAATGAAACGATGTATTATTATAAATCTAAAAGTAGTAGCTTAAAAGAATGAATTGTATGTACATTTAATTAAATTTGGTTCCACAAAAATTATCTTAAGAATAAAACAATACTTACATTAATAATAATATTATATAAATTTACTAACATCTACCTTTACATTTGCTATGTTTTTTACAGACATTCCACTTAACCATTATAATAGTATACTTAGTAACGGCAACGTACCTTAAGCAAATCGAACATAATAATATTTATAATTCTGAAAACCGAATGTTTTAAAATGAATCTATCAATTTTCCTTTCATAAATATACATAATGGTTTTATCAAATGATTCATATTACTTTAAGACAACTAAAATGATATGTAGGTTAAAAAAAAACAATACATTTGTTACCAGCTAACAATGGTGTCAAACGAGATATTCAACCAACAACAATATTGATCGTCGGCTGTGCAAGTGGTGAAGAGAAATTGTAGTTTTTTTTTTAATGATTTATCTGCAAATAAAACTTCTTTTTCAGCTTATGTGAAGTTGATCAATAGGCCCTTTACTTTTTAACTTCTATAATAAATCATAATTCATCTCGCCCAATTGGCAATAACAATTGGTAATAATAATAATTTTACTTTTAGGTATAATATAATTATATTACTTTATAAATTTCAAAACGGGTCTTCTAATTATGCAATATAGTTAGAAAAGAATCTAACTATTACTTTAGTAACTTTCAAAGTATTATTTCAAAACGGTAAGCAACTATATTCAGCAAATTATTCTGAATTTAAGAAGTTAATCATACATATAAAAAGTTTATAAGTTACCGTTTAACTTTGAAAAAAAAATAAGAAAGATGATATTTTGAACATTTTAAAGTACACAAGAGTCTCCAAAAAGAAAACCATCAATATTGAAGTTATTTTAAGATAAAACGGGTGTCTTGTCCTTATTGAATCACCCTGTACCCTGTAGTTTTTCGAATGCAATATAACACTTGGCTGGCACATCAGTACCTAATAATCAGTTTAATTGCCTATTATATCACTTTCATCACTATTGTTGTTGTATAGGATACATCAATATTTTACTCATGCGAATCTGTCGAAATAATGGCTGTATACTGTAAGATGGTATGGACGGCTGTGCTACTATTATAGTCAACGCAATAGCTTTTTCTCGTGAAATGTGGTTTCGGGCAACCAGAAATGGCGAAAGTTTCCACGAAGAAACACATCAGATAGCCGATAGTTAACAATAATAATAAACTTGATAAATACACTGGAGTGTAATAAATTACTTCACGAGTCGCTAAGTAAGTATTATATTATCTACTGCGAGCAGAATAAATCACAAAAAATAACTACAACGCCGACTCGAATTGACGGGATGATCTTTAATCATCAAGAACTTAGGCAGACTGCGCAAAGGTAAACAACTATAATAACGTTCGTGTCGTATAAAAGATAAAATTAAAAGTCAGTAATAAATAGAACAGTGATGAAACGTTATTATAAAAAAAAAATTAAAAAAATACACTTACATCACCTCGACTATAGGTAATAATTCTGAAACAATTTTTTTCGATTTTCCATTTTATTACACAATAGGTACATATTATATTGCGGCATTTTAAACCTAACTTAAATGGTTTTAAAAATTGTATGAGATTTTACCTCGGCAAGAGATTTTTGAAATTGTTTTGTTATTCATTATAATAATAAATATAAAAGCATAAAATATATAATGTAGATTAATTTTCAAACTTTAGTAGTAGCTCATCCGAAAATTGCTAACTAAAAAACGTACACGTTATTTTTCTAGAAACGAAGATTGGTCTTGCTTCCATAATAAAAAAAAAACGATCTGATTATTTTATTTTTTATTTTTATTTCAAGTAACACGAAGAAGCTAGCGATAGCTGTTATTATTTCTTTAGTTTGTTTAACAAAACAATTTTAAGTTCTGAATTTTTATTTTGCATATTTATGATAGTTGTACTTAAATGTTAATTTTAATTTGTATAGAATTCATTCGGTCTATAATTGTATTATACAGTTTTAAAAGTAGAAGTATCCGAGCAAATACGAACTTTGGCTGTATTTTAAACCCACCCATGTGCACATAGTATACACAGTAATATTGAGTCAATAAAATGTGTACAATATATTGAAGAAATCAAACTGTGTAGGAATTTTACTGCATAATTTTTCAATATCTGTTCTAGATCATCAATAATATTGTTCCGTGTTCGTGTACTTTTCATAACACATGTAATTAGCATACCTAGTAATAAGAATCCTTCATTGACAAGTAATATTTTATTTGTATACTTTTCTATCTTTTGTTTTACAATTTACTTGAACGGTCTTACTAAGAATACATTAATTATAAATCATATAGAAAAGTATATATACAAATTTCCTGATTTCACTATTATCTTTATAAAACAAAATTGTATGAATAGTGGAAACTGTATTTTTGAGTGTACAACTTGAATTGAGCTCTTCGCTTTTAGCTAAAAGTATTAAATTACCATAAAACATAAGGTCTGTCATACCCTTAACTAAAATATTTTGAACTTCAATATTTTTCAACTATTTTTTGAGAAAACATTGATTATCGTTCACAGGGATCACTCTGTGGGTAAATGTAAATTGTCAAGTCACACAATATTTCTCGAAAAGAAAATGGCTTGGTTATTTTTTTTTACGTGATACTTTTATAAATGTATAATATATTTTGAGACTATGATATATTTTTATTTATTGTTTAATAAAATGATATCAGCTGTTTTTGTCTGTTGCCAATATCGTTGGACGGGCACCCCGATTTCCTTCCCCACCCCTTTTTTTTTACCTCTCCTTTTTTCCTACATTCTCCTCTTATTTCTATCCCACCCTCTCTTTTTTCGACACAAAAACCTGTCCTATCGCTCATAGTTTGGTACCAAAAATCGTCCTGGTATGCGTCACCAAATGTACTAACAGTAAATTCTCAGTCTGTATGAAAGAGACAATTGGTCTTCAACTCAAAATCAACCCTTAGTTATTATAAAGTAAAAAGTGGAAACACACAGTAAAATCAATTTACTAATTTAAAAAAAAAAAAAAATTTTAATTTTAATATTCTTATCAGAATATTAAAATCTATTTTTCAGACAATCTCATCAAATCTTTTAACTAATAAACATTATTAATAACATATTTTTTTTCTTTTCTAAAGGCAAGCCTTGTTATAGCGAAAAAATAGACTTCCACTCTTCTCTCTTCATGTCTTTCCATCGCTCTAACATGGGAATATAATGAGGTACTCTCCCCTTGCTTTCCTCATCGCAGTATTCTGGCCGTCAAATTTGTTCCAAATTTCGCCCAGAATTATCTGATAACGAGCCGTACCAGAAGGTTCTTCTTCAACCTCGTTTCAGTACTAATGGTTACTGCTGCCCTCATAGATAATAAAAGAATGGATAGGCTATGCCTATATTAGCAACACGAGGAGTCGCACGCTGAAAGGGGCAGTTAAAGGGGAAGGTCTTATCAATAATGATATTTTAAAATGATAATAAATAAAAATTACAAACGCGAAACGATTATTATTTAACAAACTTTTTTAATTATTATTTAATTTGTTTAAGAATATTGAATCGTATTGTGCATAATATTAAGATAATATATTATTATGATTACCGTTGAGTTTCGACAACTGTTAAGACCCCTTGGCCGTTGTAACCTCAAATTTTTTAAATGTTCATTCTTGTGTGATAAACTCCCTTGGCCTATCCATTCTTTTATTATCTATGGCTGCTCTCCATCAGGTGTTTAATCCCTAGTAGGGATTAAACAAACTTACTGGAATCGCTCTCTTGGAACTTTCCGCCAGAAAGTGCTCGGTATCCTCGGGTTGATAGGCCCATAACACAATGTGTTCCCCTGAGGGTATTAATAACATAACATTCAGAATTAAAATTATACTGTAATTTTTAAACTCACAAAAAAAAAATATATATAATTTAAAATATTGGTTTATTAATAAAATTCCATACAAATAAAATTTCATTAGGAGATCGTTGTAGATAAAAAAAAAAAAAAATAGTTACAAATAATTATTAAGTAGACAATATTTGTTTACATTACAACAAATACATCGATACAATACTAAAAAAATTGTCTAATAAATGTATTACCATTTTTTTTTTTTTTTATCAGACACGAGAAATATTTATAAAAACATGCTGACTTGGTTATATAAAAACCAATTTAGCTTAACATATTTAGTCAAAATTCTAAAATAAATCAATATGACTACAGATTATGCAAAATTTAGAAATCTTTCCCCCCCCCCCAAAAAAATACAATAATAATGATAAAAAAAAAAAAATAGTTTAAGCAACGTAATAAGATAACTAGATAACAATAAGTTTAAAAAATGTTTGCTATAATTGACTAAATTCTTAATTGATACGCTAAGCCTCTAAAATAACGTTTGGAATTGGTGTTTATTTAATCAAAAATTAAAAGTGGTTAGAAAGTTTAAAAAATGGCATGCAAACATCTTTTTTTTTTTGAGATCATTATTTCAAATCGCCCCAATTAGAACCTCGCCTTAATTTAACGGGCAAAGGCACACACAAATTAACGGCCGACTCCATTGTGGTGGTAATGATCGAACAAGCCTCATCAAGAACAGAATTGGCTACCTGGAAAACAATATGTGTATTAGTAGAGTATATTTTTTTGACACTTTTCTTTATCTTATGGCAAATGTATTACTTCAAAGATGAGTTCGTCATGTATATGCATTACTAAATGGACAAGCGGTTTCGGATAGGTTTGGTTGACAATTTTGTCGATTTTAATCATAGCCATTTTAGTTACGTCAGCGGCACTACCTTGTATAATGGTGTTAATAGCTTGCCGTTCCGCTTGGGCTACCAAAACAAAAAAAAAAAAATGTTTGACTTACACACTGTAACAAAAAAAAAAAAAAAATACTATTGCATATATAATATAATACCTTTAATTTTTGGATTTTCGCTATTAATGTCAGGTAAATATCTAATTCTACCGCTAAGAGTCTTGACCAAACCCAACGAACGACACTGTGTAACGCAATCGACAAAGAACTTGTTGACATCGGAAAATGTGCTTTTAAATTCTGATATTAACTTATAAGCTTCATCCTCAGTAATATTTAACGTCTCACTTAATGTAACCGCACCCATGCCGTACAATATACCGTAACAAACTTGTTTAGTTTTTTGTCTGAGTTCATCGCATACCTGAATTTCAACAAAAAAATGTATTTATATTTTATTATATCTATTTAGATAAATATATTCTATAATATTATTTGATAAAAACATACTTCAGAGGCTGGTATTTTATGCCATTTTGACGACATATTGATAAAGACATCACCAGAAGATTTCAACGCCGACAACAGAGAATTGTCTTTAGATAGGTGAGCGAGCACACGTAGTTCTATCTGACAGAAATCTACAGAGACTAACGTTCGATCTAGAATGATAATAAAAGATGTATGATTTCTAGACAAGTCATCTCTCAAAATATAAAGATATAACAACAACAAAATTATCTATTTAAAAATAGGTAATCAGTTTAACGAAATTAAAAATCAAACCTTGTTTAGGAATGAATGCAGATCGAATACTTAGGATTTCATTTTCAAGTACATAATCTTTGGGTAGATTTTGCAAGTTGGGTTCGTGCATACTAATACGGCCAGTATGGGAATAAGTGTTGCTGTCACAATACACACTGTCTTTTGGCATGGCCAAAAGTGAATTAAGATGCTGCAAAATTCATATTGACAAGTATTATACATACAATTTAAACATATATTTTTGATACTTACATTATTCCTGAGACAGCTTAATTTTCTCCAATTCTTTACTAATTCGACCAAAGGATGAGAAGAACTATCGGTCAAATTTAAATTACGTTTAACCTAGTAGCATAAAACAGATTTGCAAAAGTGACAAATTATTGCATACAATCAAACTAATTGATGAGTGATCTTTTCCATAAAAAAAAAGATATGATTCTTGTTGAATTTTTTATATTTCCTTTTAAACTACGTATTTCCCAAATTAAAATCATTAATTTTTTTTGATCTCTTTAATGTAAACCTCGGTTTTATTACCTTACAACTATTTCACATGATTCATCAGTTTCCATATTATTGTTCAAAGCTGAATATATAAGTACTTATAGTGTTTAACCTTTCTTTACTAAACAGTTTAGCTACAACCGATAAATTTCAATTTTTACTCACTTTAGCCCATTCTAATTTGGATTGCATGTTAAATTTGGTTCCAGCAAGTGAACATCCTTGTTTAGAAATATTTTCCATTAGGTCGTTCACTGTATCGTTTAGCTTTGTCAACTGCTCTTTTTTAATACAAAATCCGTGTAGTTCCATTTTTGCCAATATGATTTGTATGGGCATCTCAATATCTAATGAAAATACATCAAAGACAAAAATAAGATTGGCATTACTTAGATTGAAAGAAAAATAAGATAATTATTCAACTTTAACAAATTAAATACCTTTAAAAGTTTTATAAATATAAATTTGTTTGAGTTGTCGTTTTAAAACAACCATAAGTTTTTGAATGATGAATGCGTTAAACACAGAGTCATTTACAGGAATACAACCATTAAAACTTAAATGCCATTTGATCTAAGAAGAAAAACAAAATGTTAATTTTCAAGTGTAAGCACCTTTTTTAGAAAAATTTATTTTATTTCAGTATTATTTCAACAACAATTTTCTTAAAACAATGCTAACAAATTTAGTCTCAAATAAAAAAAACCAATTGAATATTTAAATAATAACTTGCGAGCTTTAAATATTTATTTTATGATTTTGATCTGTTAAGGCAAATGTAATTTTTTAACAAAAAGCGTACCCACAGGCCACAGTAGTAGATCTTTAAATAGAAAAATAATTTATAAAAAACCATTGTTCATCTATTATAAATCGTTAAATATTACTATTTGATTGAAAATTAAATTAAAATCATACAATTACCAAACTATCCAATGAATTTTTCGGTTGACCGCTAATGAGCCAATCAGCTACAGAAGGATCCCTAAACTTGCAGACAGCATTAATGTCACACAATTGAGAGATCATTTTGTAGCTTGATTTGGCGTCGTACATGTTAATGGTCAAATTTTTGTTAGTCAATAACTTTCGCAACAGACTCACACCGGATGGTCCTACAATCATTATTAACAACTATTAATTAAATGCAAGCAATGCATATTATTGGGTTTGCTGTCCACTAGGTCATTAGTCTGGAGCAACAATTCAAAATAAAACGAAGAGATTCAACAGAGGTAAGTCAATCACTAAATCAAGGCAGTATTCCTACTACCGACCTAATAAACATCTAGCTTAAGTGCTTCAACTTACCGATTTTATTTAAGTCTGCGTAATGCACAACCCTTTGTTTATACCATGTAATTGCAAAACCTCTAAACACTTGGTTATCATATGTATAGGAACTAATTTTATCTTGTTCCAAATTACGTCTCACCACTCTCGGGCCTATACGGTTTTCGACATTGGTCACTTTGCATATGTTCAGTGAAAGTGTTACTTCTTTTCTCTGGCGAATTTCTGGAAAGAAGTCTTTTGCAAACAAATCTGTATTTTCTATTACTTTGGTTTTGTACGCCCAATTATCAAATCTGATGGAATTAGCATTGGCGTCTGGTTTCATTGGCGATTCTCTGAAATAAAATGAAAAAATAAAAATCTATATGTAAAGCAAAGCTATGCCACTGGACAGACATGGGATCCAAATAAAAAATTAAGTGGAATATATCAATTCTATAGCTGTTAATATGTTAATAATTGAAGTGTCCAAATTTCGAACCAAATGGTACCTAACAGAGCCAAAAAGCATAATTGTCAAAATCAAAACTTACCCTTTCACCTCAAACCTTTGTGCAATCAAACATTATAGAAAATCATACTTAGAATCCTCTATTAAATTTTAAAGGTGAAGCTCGGGTGAAACTGGGTGTAAACAAATTTAAAAGGGAGTTTAAATTGTTGATAAACAACTACATACTTGCGAGGAGATGGTCCGCTGGAAACGGTATCTTGGGAACCGGCAATCATATCTTCAGAATCGGATATGACTAAATCGTCACACGTCATATCAACGACTTTTGCCTTATTTGGACAAATTATGGTATTGGCCATGCAGCTAAAAGAATTTTTAAACACACTCTGGCTCATTTCGTCTTTTTTAACATAAAATGTTTTGTTTGCAACATTATTGCCTTGAATAGGGTTCGCCATAGAGTTAAACGAGTTTTGAAAAACCGACTTCATTACACTATCGCTCATTTCTTCTTTAAAAGAGTTTAACATTTTATTATTTATTATTGTGTTGTTATTTTGTACAGTGTTAAAAGCCATAGAGTCAAAAGAATTTTGGAACGCTGCATTTAATAAACTTTCACTAATTGCTTCGTTTTTGTCGACAGTCTCTTTGTGATTATTATTCGTCGTACTTGTCATTGAATTGAACGAATTTTGAAACGCTACCCTAATTAAGCTGTCACTCAATTCTATACTTTTAGCAGTTACCGTCACGTCTTTTGTGTCAATTTTATTAATTAACTTGTCAAGTTGAGTATTGATAATTAAAGAATCTGGAAACATAGTACTTTCAAACATGTCGCAACTTTCCGGCGAAGTTTCTTCAACCTTTTTACACTTTTTTTGGTGGTGTTCTTCAACTATTCCATTTTCTTGTGGACAATCTTCTCTTTTTCGTTTCCTGGACCCGACGTCTCTTTGAGACAGTTCTAGAATACTCTCGCCACCGATATTGCAATCCCAATTTTCTTCATGTTCTTGAGGTGTTTTGATGTAAACCAATTCTGTACGGTAAGAATTAGCGATTAATTTTTCAGAATGACTAAGACTTTTGTTCTGGCCTATAACGGTTATGCTGATCTTGGTTTGTTCAAACGACCCATCAAAAAGATCTAAACTTTCCCGTTTATAATCTTTACTTTTGATTTCTTGTTGTTCATTATTTATGATTTCTGTTTCAGTAAAGAGCTCGACACTTTTTCTCGATACGTTAAACACTTGAGCGTCTTCATTTGACAAGTGCACAGACGATTCTTTAATTTCTTGGCTATTTTCAATTATTGTAACATCTCTTGAAGTGGTAGGCCGAATTTTAACAGAATTAAAACTCTCTTCTAAAGTTTTATTTGCGTTGCAGTCTTCAATCCAACTAGCAGTTTTTAAACCAAGTTCCCTCTGCAAATGGTCAAACAATTAATATTGATAATTGAAAATTAATGTTATTTTTCATAAATATTATTATTTTGTGATACGCAATTAAGGTGTGATATCACAACGTCTTTCAAATGGCAAACAAAGTATTTTTTTAACACATTTACTGTCTAATTTTAATGGCTTTTTATTATTGTCAATCTTACTTTCAATAGGTGACGTGCTTCGTTTACAATAAACATAGCAGCTTCTTTTTCATTAAGGGCAAATCGACCGGCTAACCAAATATTTTTGCGGTTTTCTCCTTCATCAGTATTATTATTAGTGATACTAAAACCAAATACCATGTTGTCTTATCTACATGAAATTCACTAGGTGATAAATTAGAACTTACTTTTGATATGGGACGGCTTTAGCGAGAGCACGTTGTACAACACGAATATCAGCTAGTGCAAGTTCAGGAATGTTATGTATTTCCGCTTTGTACAATGCTCGAGCGGTAATTGAGTTTAAACAATCTAAACGCAATAATTCAACAAGTTGTCGCTGAACACCAAACTGAAGTCGCTCCGCAAACTGTGATATCAACAACTCGAGGGACGACCAGCCGAGTCTTTTGCAAAACTGTGTTACCATTCCTAAGGGACAAAAATAAAATATGTAATGGTTTTGATAAAATAATAACCATACAATAAGGTTCAACCTGCAAATGTAGATGATGACTGTTGAAGACTTTGTAAGAGACCTTTCGATGTACCATATTTTGTAACTACAGTATTTATAGGCACTTCATTGATTAAATCATGTAGCAAGAGGGACGTGTAAAATCTTCTGTGAACGGCCAATTTATGTTTCTAAAATTAACACAAATAAAAACAAAATGTAATTCAAATATTTCAATATCAAAAAAAAAAAAATAAACTGAATAATTTACATCCGAAAATGAACTAAAAGTGGTTCCAGTCATTGCTTTGACTATAAATCTCTCTTCGACACCAACCATATCGCCGACTTTACGCATAGATTGGGGTAATTTTTCCCATACATTCAGCATTCGGAACCAGTCTAGATTTCCTATTTGATCACTAACTGAATATGGTGTGATCTACAAAACATAAAAAATTAAATGAAAATACAATTTTTAACATTTAAATAGAAAACTGCACAAAATGTACAAATGCACTTGATACTAACTAAGTATAATAAATGTAGTTCGGAATCGAGAACAAAATTTTGTCTCGCTCTATCTAATTCTTTAATAAGTTTTAGTCCAATATCGGGCGTAACAGATGCAGCTAAACACGCCTGGCCTAAACTGGTTGGTGCTAATTTATTGTCTGATTCGCGGACAAATTGATGATCGATCAATAATTTTAGACACTGATATATTGGATCTTCATTGACTAAATAAAAAAAATATGACATTTAAGAAAAAGTAGTTAATTGTTGTGCTGTAATGTTGTTTAATAATATGACAATCAAATTTACAAAAAAAAAAGCAGTTTTGTTTTAACAATAATATTTAATTTTTACTCACAGTCTTTTCCAGTAGATGCATACAATAATGTACACTTAATGTACTCAAAGGCTTCCTCTGTTGAGTTGACAACGCATCCGGCAACTACTTCCAACAGGGCTCGTTTCAAACAATTAGAAAAATCTCCAACACCTAAACAACTCCTGATTGGCGGCAGAGTTTGACATGCCACTTGTTCCCCTATACGTTTTTCACTTTCGTTGCAAATCAAATAACTTTCCCCTATTCATTAAAAATATTCATATATATGAACTAGTTATGCAATTCTTAAATGAAACATTTTGACTTTAATCATTTGATTGATAAATTATTTTCCTATGCCTGACGTTTTCACGTCTAGTAATCTTAATATATTACCTGCAGTGTCAACACCCATTCGTCCCGCACGTCCGATCATCTGTCTATATTGTAAAATATCAATAGGAAATCCGTGACAAGCTGGCGATCTTACGATAACTCTACGTGCAGGTAAATTTACTCCAGAAGATAATGTTGATGTAGCGACTAGGACGCGAACAATGTTCTGCTTGAAAGCACCTTCGATTATGTCCCTTTCATCCATAGTAAGGCCTAAAAATTGAAATACTTATTCATTTTTTTTATTCTTTTTTTAAAAATAAATATTGATATTACCTGCATGATGAAATGCAACACCAAACGATATGGTTTTATTTAAATCGGTTTCGAGTCCGACGGGACATCTTCGAAGTTGCTCCAAAACATCTCCTAAACTTTCTCCATTCAACTGATTTCTCAAAGCTTTTCCTGTTTCTGATTTAACATCTCCGCCTGGAAAAATGTAATAGATTTTAAATATTTATAAAAGGCCAACCATTTAGAGTGAAATATTATTCACTTACCAAGTCGCTTAATTTCAGAAGCTATTTCAATCGCTAACGATTCACACCACTTTTTTGTAAAGCAAAATATTAGTATAGAATATCCCTGTAGGATAGTGTCGATACTTAAATACGCTACATCGTCTGGATCTTTCTAAATACACATATAAAACAATACAATAGTACAATGAACTAATAATTCTGATGCAAAATACAGTAAATGTTGTGATAATGTAAAAGTAATAGAAAATACTTTTATTGCAAACTTGGGTTCAATCATATGACTCAATGAAAAATCACTCGCATTAAACACATTTTTGCCAATTTTCAAGTACTCTTTTAAAGGAACTGGTCGAAAATCAGTTTGATATAAAGTGGCATCCAACCAGTTGGCTAGCATTTCTAAATTTGGAAGTGTTGCAGACATGCCGACAATTTGAATTGATATACTACTCCGTCTAAGCATAAAACATGATTTTTTTTGTAAACTAAATAATAAAAAAAAAAAATGACATACATTTTGGACATGTATTTAATTTTTGTCAATAACAATTCCAATAGGTATCCTCTATTTGAATCTCCGAGCATGTGCAATTCGTCAACGACTATACAACCAATATCTTGTAGTCCGTCTTCTTCCATTAATCTAAATATAAAATGTTATATTTTATTTAAAAACAAAAATATGTATACATAGTTATTTTTATAATAATAACATTATTTTAATAGTGTACCGATTAATTAAACCATTTGCTTTTTCTATGGTTGCGATTGCAACATTTACAGATCGCAATCCGCCAGGTGGAGTATAGCTACCCATAAATCCAGCAACTCTCTTGTTTGTGCCTTCAAATAATTCCTACAAATAGAAAAATAATACATTGGTTTTATTCTGCTAAAAATACTAAATAACTACTGTGTTACTTGAAAGTAATGCATTTTTTCTCGTACAACCGACACAAACGGCAGAATCATTAACACTTTCTTGTCTTTTTCCAAAACAGTCTGCATTGTAAGTATTTCAGCAACCATAGTTTTACCTAATCATTTCAAAATATAATACTTAACTCTTTATTAATCAAAATATCTGAGAGGTAAATTACTATGACTATAGTTAATATTATCTATTTTTATTTTTTAGAGTTTCATTAATTATAATTTACTTAATAGACTCCATGCTGAAAGAGATATAATATGACTTGTCTTTATTAATTGAAAAAAATATTCAAATGCTTATATTTAATTTTATTTATTTTACAAGATATCATATAAATCACCAGAAATTGGCAAAATCTCAAAAAGGTATGTAATCTACTGAACATTGATCTATTGTTTTCATATTATGGTGATTGAACTATTGACATTACCAACACTGTTGCAGAAATTAAATTTTATAAGCCAAATATCTACCTATCTATATTGATGTCACGTTTCAAGTTAATTTACTCAAAACGTAAATTTACTACAATTTAATATTATTTACCTAGATTTTTACATAAAACTTGATTGACTATCATAAAAAAATTGTTTTAAAGTTTTTTATTCAGTTCAATCCGGTAATAGTTACAAAAGATGAAAAATCTAACCGGCTGACGTTGGTGCTGAGTAAACTAAATTGCGTCCGTCTAAAACACCTTGGCTCATCAGACATTCTACTTGCCAAGGAAACATTGATACGATTCCTCGCTTTTTGTAATTCTAAAAACAAACCATGATTCAAGTATAGGTATTTTACACGCCAAGGCGATAACATAATAACATATATGTATGGAGAATATAATTACATCTACAATTTGGGGAGGTAAGCCCCACGAATTGATGTCGCACAAATGGTCGTTGGACATGATGGATGAACAATAATAAAAAAAATTACAAAATTTACTAGGACATGCAAAGAAACGAACACCGTGTCGTTCACATTATTATAAAAATATAATAATAATTAAGAGAATCGAACATGTTTGGGTTAGCTGGACAATTTCCAAAAAAATGTCATGTTTATAGAAATTATATTATTAAAATTAAAACAGTACGGACTACGGAGTTGCAAATTTTCAAGTCGTTTGTTAATTGTTGTTATCATCTGTCGTTGTCGTTACTACCGTAAACGTATTATAGTTTTTACGTTGTTTGTCGCGACCTGCACCGTTCGATTGATAATAACGCAGTGCGCGCGCGATGATAAGAAAAACAGTTGGCGGTAAAACTTTTTACTCGCCATGAAATTTCAGTAGTATATAGAATTTTTGAAAAACACCTATATTGGAAAATAAAAATGCGTACATTTTCAAATTTCGCGTTGGAGTTACAATATAAAACTTACACAATCTTTCGGAAATCAAAAATCGAAAATCATACCGAACGCCTAACGAACGTTGCGTTGTTTTTTCTTCCAACGACTTCTAGAATGTTCTTTAACCGATTTCCTCCCTCCTCCTCCCCGCGGACGATGACACCGGATTTATTCGCGTCACTGGACTGACTCACTTGGCTTATGAGTTATTATTCATATTTCATTCGACATTCATACAACTGTGCATACTTACTCCATTTTGAAAGTTCAGCGAAGAACATTTGTCCGTAAGTATGAGATTTTATTAAACTCATATAAATAATATATTTCCAAGTACAAAGCAACCGAATGCCGGACAATATATTAAATAGTATCAGTATCTAATATGACAAAATCCAATTTTCTAAAATTTCCAAGCGTTCGGTCGGTGTAGCTTGTTTTCTAGAATCTGTCGATAACGTTATTAAACTCGTTTCCCGTATTGCCGCAAATTTGGTTGAAAATAGGTAGTGCCTCGTTTAGGTACAATTGCAAACTGTTTGCATATTAGCCATTTATTCGGTGGTTAATTTGATGAGATGACATCATTTGTGTTCGACATTCCGACGGTCACGTGTTTCCAAGATACTTTATTGTTTCAGTTGTTTAGGTTTTAATTTTTATTTCATCAAAACTCGGTATTATGTTTTCAGATGTTTATATTTTTACACACATAACCTATATATAACTGAGTCAACAATTGCATTTTTTTTCCAGTTAAGACAGGGTATAAGTTATAACTTTTAAGAAATTTAGTTTATAATTTCTTGGGAAATATCTCACTTTAACTGAGTAAAGTGTATTTCCGCTATTAACTTTAGTTAAGAGTAACTAAAGTTATTAGCATCGGTATTGTTCTATAAAAACAAGAGGTTTTGCTATAATTGTGCATTGCCAGAATATTTTTGGAAACTGATCCTGAGTTTTCCTTTGTTCATAAAATATATTCTTTTCTTTCCTTTCAAATTTTATACCAATAAAAAAATATACAATAATATGCTAAGAAGTGAAAAAGAATCAATTGTATTCGTAACATTAATTTTCATACCATCATTCATTCATTTTAAATGTCAAGTAACAAATAATTTAATCCTAATTCTTTTAAAAATTGTGTCCTCAAACTCTTCATTAAGCATACAGTGTGCTTAATTCGGTATTTTTAATTTTTTTATTGTATTTTATGGTTACTTAGTTATTATCTTTAAATGTTAATTATAATTAACTTTATATGTAGTTAAGTCAATAATTTACTGATTTTTAACTAAATGTTTATATATTGTTGCATTTTTTTTGTTCTAGGACTGATAAAAACTCCAAAAAAGTACCTAATATTTTATATTAATTACACGTCTACCTAATACATTTTTAAAACAAAATGGCCAAAACTCCTGCTATTGGTATTGATTTGGGTACCACCTACTCTTGTGTCGGTGTGTTCCAACACGGCAAAGTAGAAATTATTGCCAACGATCAGGGTAACCGCACGACTCCCAGTTATGTCGGTTTCACTGACACTGAACGTCTTATTGGTGATGCGGCTAAGAACCAAGTTGCCATGAACCCCAACAATACTATTTTTGGTAATAATTATTTTATTGAAACAATATTTTTGTTTCAATCTATATGCAGTGTATTAAATGTATGTTATAATTTATTTTATAGATGCCAAACGATTGATTGGTAGACGTTTCGAAGATGCCACCGTTCAAGGTGATATGAAACATTGGCCTTTCGAAGTAGTCAGTGATGGAGGAAAACCCAAAATCCGAATTAACTACAAGGGAGAAAGCAAAACTTTTTCACCTGAAGAGGTAACAATTGAAAGAACTATCAATGGACCATTTTTATATTATCGGGAATTTGTATGCTTGTAGGTGTCTTCAATGGTTTTAACCAAGATGAAGGAAACTGCTGAAGCCTACTTGGGAAAGACTGTCACAAACGCTGTGATCACTGTCCCTGCCTACTTCAACGACTCGCAACGTCAAGCTACCAAAGATTCTGGCACCATTGCAGGGTTAAATGTAATGCGTATTATCAACGAGCCAACAGCTGCTGCCATCGCTTATGGTCTTGACAAGAAAACCTCTGGAGAACGCAACGTCCTCATCTTTGATTTGGGTGGTGGAACTTTTGATGTGTCCATCTTGACCATCGAAGATGGAATATTTGAAGTAAAGTCTACCGCCGGTGACACTCACTTGGGAGGAGAAGATTTTGACAACAGAATGGTAAATCACTTTGTTCAAGAGTTCAAACGCAAGTACAAAAAGGACGTGACAACCAACAAACGGGCATTGAGGCGTTTGAGAACCGCTTGCGAACGTGCAAAGCGTACTTTGTCTTCGTCAACTCAAGCTAGCATTGAAATCGACTCGCTGTTCGAGGGTGTTGATTTTTACACCTCCATCACTCGTGCTCGTTTTGAAGAGTTGAACGCCGATCTGTTCCGCAGCACCATGGAACCAGTTGAGAAATCTCTGCGTGATGCTAAAATGGACAAGTCCGCAATTAACGATATTGTTCTTGTCGGAGGTTCCACTCGTATTCCAAAAGTACAAAAGTTGTTGCAAGACTTCTTCAACGGTAAAGAATTAAACAAATCGATCAACCCTGATGAAGCCGTAGCTTATGGTGCCGCTGTGCAAGCTGCCATTTTGCACGGAGACAAATCCGAAGAAGTGCAAGACTTGCTGCTGCTCGATGTCGCCCCCTTGTCGTTGGGTATCGAAACCGCTGGAGGTGTGATGACTGCTTTGATCAAGCGTAATACAACTATTCCAACCAAGCAAACTCAGACCTTCACGACCTACTCTGACAACCAACCTGGTGTGTTGATTCAAGTTTATGAAGGAGAACGTGCAATGACCAAAGATAACAACTTGTTGGGTAAATTCGAACTTACTTCTATTCCACCCGCACCTCGTGGCGTACCCCAAATCGAAGTAACGTTTGATATTGATGCCAATGGTATTTTAAATGTGAGTGCCATTGAAAAGTCGACAAACAAAGAAAACAAGATCACCATCACCAACGACAAAGGACGTTTAAGCAAGGAAGATATCGAGCGCATGGTCAATGATGCCGAGAAATACAAGTCGGAAGACGAAGCTCAAAAGGGAGTTATTGCCGCCAAGAACAGTTTGGAATCTTATTGCTTCAACATGAAGAGTACCATGGAAGACGATAAAATCAAGGACAAAATCCCTGAATCCGACAAATCTACGGTTTTGGATAAGGTCAATGAAACAATTAAATGGTTGGACGCTAACCAGTTGGCCGACAAAGAAGAATACGAACACAAACAGAAGGAATTGGAAGGTGTATGCAATCCCATAATCACCAAGTTGTATGCAGGCGCTGGTGGTGGTGCCCCTGGTGGTATGCCAGGCGGCATGCCCGGAGGCTTCCCTGGTGGTATGCCAGGAGCTGGCAGTGCTGCTCCAGGCGCTGGTGCTGGACCAACTATTGAAGAAGTTGATTAAATCCTATGTATTTATCATTCCGCGTGTTAAACAAATATTTTTTTTTTTTTTTGTTACGCATTTCTCACTATAATTAATAAAAAACCAATGAAACATTTATCTGCAATTATAACTCTCTATCAATATTTTTAACTTCTTAGGAAATTTCCGGTTTCTGTGTTGCAATTAATTGATTGTATTTATTTATGCCAGAAATATTTAAGTAACTGAAGATTAAATTTATATAGTCACTGTATAACCTACTACAGAGTATTGGTTATCTGATATAGTGACATTCTGCTACAAATACAGTTAAGTTAAAAAAAATACTTTGAAGTTGCCTTAAAATATAGCGGTTAAGTAAAATCAAACATTTTTCATGTATAGAGAAGTAAAAAATGGCAAAAAGAACTGTTACTCATTGTTAGTTGAAATATTCACGACGTGTATTGTTTGATAATCTAATATATAAAGAACCAATAAATAAAATAAAATAATGGTCTTAAATTAGTGTTGCCCAATAGTCATCAACAAAAAAAATGTAACGTTTGTATAATATTTTGTTTAATGGGTTGAAAAACAATGTCGACATAAATATTTTGGTTATATTTACTACTAATTTGTATTACATTCGTAGTATAAATATGTATGTTTTGTAATGCTATTTTAAACTGCATAATTGATTAGATTTTTTATCATATAATATGATGGGGTTATCCTTAGTTTTAATTTTTATATTTTCACATGTAAAATCTATGCTGTCACCTACTTACCTATGGATAATAAAAGTGATATCCCACACGCAATATAACACTTTTTAAGGCAAACTATATAACACTGCACTAATATATTTTACTTTTTACGAATTTTTTTTTTATTTCTATGACGTTACGAAAAGAGTATATGTAATATTTTTTCTTATTTACTTTATATAATTTCAACTGTCAAAAAAGAAAAACTAGTATCATAGGCAGGACTACTAGTACGTCCAGACACATATATTAGGTAACTGGAAGAAGTCATACATTAGACTAACTAATCATAATTTTCTATCTTGGATTTATGGCCCTAAGACCTTCGTACTCATAAGAAGTTTGATGTTTTTAGTTTTTTGCCTCAATCTGTAGAAGAGATAAGAATTGAATGTGTTGAAACTCATGGATTGAAGTATAATGTGAGTGAATTTCAGAAATATCCATGTCACTATAGCTGTTAGCTGAAGTTTCGGACACTTTGAGTTAGTCGCGACTGTTCCGCTGCCGTGATTACTCGGGATATTTGTTTTTTAATGTAGGGGCGATTTTTTTACCGGGTTCTGTACTAGACTTAATTATAAACAAATAGTTTTTACTTTCTTAACTACCTCCCCCCCTCCAAATCCGCAAGAAACCATTCGAATTCAACGAACCCAAAAACATGTGAATTGTTATGCAACAAAAACAAAAAAAACCTAACCCTTTTAAACAAGTGGTTGATTTGGAATTACTAAATTTAAATTCAGTGACCTCAGAAATGTTTGAAATTACATATTTTGATTATAGTCTCCCTTGAATAAAATTTCAGGTGAATTTAATTTCAATTACTTTTTTCGGATTCTAGATAGAATAAAAAAAAAATATCCAGTGTCGACGAGAACCATTCACTAACATCTGGGGGAAAACATATTTAACATCCACCCATCCAAAAAAATCTCGCTTGTAACATACAAAAATTATTAATATTAGTACAAATCGGCCACCCACCCATTAAATCAATGGGGTATTTAGCCCACTAGACACTGGTGTTCGGCGCCATTGAAACTGGCTATAACCAATATTAAACTGGAAAGAAAACTAATAACGGTTTAATAAACGAATATTGTAACTGGGTTTTAAATCGAACGTAGCGTGACATAGACCAAAAAGAAATTGGATATAAGACTTCTATGTTTATCTTTAATCAACTTATTGTTATTTTTTATTTTCGTTTTTCATTAAAACATAATAATGTATTGATTGTAATATGGCGTATGCTACCCACGGTTTTATGGCGTGTGAAATGTTTACGACAGAACATAATAAACTCCACGAACATATGGACAAGGTCTCTTGTTGTGATTACATGAGTACCTATAAATGTTACCTAGCAACAGTCAGTATAAGTATATTCGTTTCTGTGCAGGTGGTTGGGTTTCCCGTGTAAAACTTAGTTATTATTCCCCTCCGTCGTTGCCGTAGGTATCTCTTTTTAAGCTGATCAATATCGTTCTTTAAAATTATTTTCGTAATATTTTAGAACTGTGTTTTGGGATTCGCGGTTTGCCCATGTGTATGTAGTAGGACGTTGGCAGAATTCAAGTGCACACACGTTTATAATTAACACATGTCTTTAATGTGTGGCTTAGCCTCGGTTTGGCCACGAACCCTTTGCCGACGTGTACTCGAAAAGACATGGTAAGAAACCAGCATGAACAGATACATTACATTAAATCAACTGGGAGACGGTACTTACGGATCCGTCGTGTTAGGACAAAACGTAGATACAGGCGAAAAAGTGGCCATTAAAAGGTAAGTATAGAAGTTATAAAAAATATAAAAACAAATATTTTTAGTTTATTTTTTTTGTGGAGCAAAACATTACATTTTGTCGAAATACAAATATAAGGTGATGAGAACCAAAAGGGATCAAGTGACATTTTTTTCGAAAACAAGTTTTTGATCACATATTACAATAAGCATATTTTGTCAATAAGTTATTTCATCTGCGTAATGCGTTGGTTTTATGACATTAGTCTCAAGTTTTCAACGTTTCATCGAAGAAAACTAATGAACATCACCTAGAAAATTACATTATTAATAATATTATTTTCACTTTTCCTTCTTTAAATTTTTTTTGTAAGTTAATTATACACGTTATTGGTTCTCACCTCAAAATATATATAATATAATAATTTATATTATGTAATAGAATTGTTCCATATTAGTATCAACATTTGATTTTTTGCACTTGTACTTCGAATTTTTACAAAACATAGGATGTTTATTAAAAATGCCAAAAAAAGTAGATTTGACTCAAATAGTACTTTTTTTGTATGCCTTACACATCATTTAATACTATTAAACATGAAATATGACACCATTTACATTTTTTCCCCTATTTTTTATAATCGTCTTTTTCAAAGCTACAAACTACTTTTTCTCTACTGTACATTTTTTTTTTGAAAAATTATTAATTTATTATTATTATTAATACTCAGTTATAGTAAACTGACTACAACGTCAACATTTTGGAATAGTAAATACTATTACATAAAGTCGGTAAATTAATAAAAACCTATAAATACTCATAAAATATGGCTTAACTGATGGAATTATATACAATATAAATATATTTTTTTATTTTAAATACTTAACCGTTTTTTTGTAGAATGAAAAGAAAATATTATTCTTGGGACGAAGCGATGAATTTAAGGGAAGTCAAGGTAAGTGTCATTCATAAAACCTATATACAATGTGGATAATGAAAATGCATTTTTTTGTAGTCCTTAAAAAAACTCAACCATGCGAATTTAATCAAACTAAGAGAAGTCATCAGAGAAAACGATACTCTTTATTTTGTATTCGAATACATGAAAGAAAATCTTTACCAGTTGATGCGGAGTCAGAGTAAATTTTTCCCCGAACAGTCCATAAGAAATATACTATATCAGGTAACTTGTTGAAAATACAATAGGCTATAATAATACCAATATATTACTGATATATGAAATAGATTTATACAGGTCTGGTCTAACTAGAACACTTTTGAAATATGTTTAGAACATAATATGTTTTTAATGTCTTATACCTAGATCAAAACTGTAACAAGTCAAAAAGTGGGTATTTTTGGTTATTTGTATATTCGGATTCTACAAACAAAGTTGCGTGAACCAACAAAACGAATTTAAATTTATCTTCATTACCTACTCTCCAAAATATGGTACTGTAGGTACTTTTTGTAAAAATTAAAAAATCCTATAATCCTAACAACCAAAACCGTTTAAAACTTTAATTTCTGCCCAGACATCAAGCGGAGTACACGTACGTTGGTTATACAAAACTGTTTTATTAAAATAATCAGTTAAAGTTTAATTAACAAGTTAAAGTAATTAAACTTGAAAATAAGTTTTTTTGAATTCCTGAAAAAAGGTGTTTTTTAAGTTGCTACAGTTTTGATCTAGGCGTGCGTTATGTCATTTTATCTCGTTTAATATTTCCTGAATTACTTTGTAAATTGTAATAAATTTCCGTTCAAAGATTTTTCAAGGCCTCGCGTTCATGCACAGGCACGGTTTCTTCCACCGCGACATGAAACCGGAAAACCTCCTATGCTGTGGTCCTGAACTGGTCAAAATCGCTGACTTCGGACTGGCCCGAGAGACGAGATCTCGGCCTCCGTACACCGATTACGTCTCAACCCGTTGGTACCGAGCACCGGAAGTACTGTTGCACTCGGTCAACTACAGCACTCCAATCGACTTGTGGGCCGTCGGTTGCATAATGGCCGAACTCTACACTTTTAGACCACTATTCCCGGGAACCAGTGAGATTGATCAAATATTCAAAATATGCTCGGTTCTGGGCACGCCAGACAAGGTAAGTAGACAGGCTGCACAGGTATAATTAGCAGATTTCCCTGGGATAATCATCTTCCCGAACTAATCCCCAGGGAATAGTTTTTTCATTACTTACAACCTGCCTTATGTAGCTTTATTTACCTCCACGGCGCGCAGTTCATCGCCAAAAATCATCATTTCACTTTGACAATCAGAGACGGGTTGGACATTTTATTTAAAGCGTAAGGATAAGATATACTCTTTTTAAGTAAGAGCACACTGGACGGCCAGCAGGTAATCCTGTTTTCGGGTAGCCATCCGATGCTTCCTTATTTGAAAAATAGTATAGAATTAGAAACCATACTAACCATCCATATATTCATAATCCTACGAAAATTAAAGTTGAAGATTAACCCATATACTTAAGTACTTCATGTATTTACATTTTACACATACATCAGATGCTTTATTTTGTGATATAAACAATTAATCCAAGACACGTGTGATTTGGCACGTATTATTTTTTTTTAATATTCGTTTGATATTTTTATAATTGTATGTATACAAGTATAAGTACAACTACTTCACTAACACAATAACACATTTAAACAACTGAAATGGGGTTGTTAAACTTCAGTTTTTTATAGTACCTACTTGAATACGTACCATTAACGGCTAAAATCAGTGTAAGTAGGTAACAGTGTTATTGTAAAGAAAACGGTATAATAGTGATAACTAATATGAATGAACGTAATGCTTTATACTGTTGAAATATATTTTAAAATGAGGTTCAAAGAGTTAACCGCAAAGGGAAGAATAATTATTATAACACAAATTTCAGAATGTTTTTTCTATTATAATAAAAGCTTATACTACAAATGCATGTACATAAACAGTTATCTAGTAGTGACTAGTGACCCATTTTTTTTAATTCGGTCACCTATACCATTTGTTGGTACTTTGAGATAATCAATGTAAAATATAAATTATACCTATATTTATTATGACTTATGTTGATTTGTTTTCCATTGTATTAGTGTATCTTCTTTATATAACTACAAAGTATATTCATTGATTGTGTGAATTATTTTGTACGTCATGCTAAATGTTAATTATTTTAGAAAGAATGGTTCGAAGGATATCAATTAGCTTCAGCCATGAACTTTAGATTTCCTCAGTTCAAACGGTTGATGCTCAATACAGTGGTACCGAACGCTAGTCGTGACGGTATACATTTATTGGAGTTATTGTTGAGTTGGAACCCCATACGAAGACCTAGCGCTCAAAGTGCATTAAGGTAATTATACTAGGTATACTAAATTGATTATTTAAGCTGAGTATAAAAAACCATCTAAACAGGTATTTAGAAATAAAATATATTAGGTATTAAAAAAAAAACGCTACAGTAGAGGCGGAGTGAAGGTCTTTAGGATATGCTTTTAGGAATTTGTGTAACTGAAAGTAATATAAATCTGTAGAATGTAAAAAAAAATTTTAATAATAGAATCTCTCCTTATTGGAAAAGTCATAGGATCATGATTCGTTTCAATCATGACTATTGTTTTTCTATTTTACTTTCCTCCCATCTTTCAATATACGTCAAACACGAATCTTTAATTTTCCCTGGTATAGTAAAACTTCTAATCTTCCTCTAATAGGTAATGTACTTATTTATCATTCACACTACTATTTTCCTTATACCATCCTTCTTCAGACGTGGCCATCACTTATTTGGTGTAGGTACATGTTTGCTGGGCTTACTACCGTTTTATAATGTTTTCTTCGCGTTCTGAATGTACATTTCAGTTAAACAACACCCTTTGTTGTCTCTTTCTAGTTCACTAAACCACCAAATCAATAACCAATAATCATATTCTAACTCATCGCATCTTTTTCGATTCCTCATTCGACCGTTCTTTTGCACAACTGATCGCAAATACTTAAATAATTATTACTTTATACTTACCACTTGAGGCTTAATGCTGACCTTTTGATGAATTCGGCTATACTTATAGCAATGAATAATACCAAACTAATATTTTATTTTAATAAAAAATTTTAAATCCTGTCAAATAACCACGTAGAGAAAATATTATAAATATAAGATAAAAAATTATAAAATATGAATTTTAATTAATTTTACTTTAGACAATCGTATTTCCAAGTGGGACAACAACGCCTTGCACAAGACAATGTGGAGTTGGTGTACGCCAAGAGCAGTCAACTGCAGAGGAAACAACCTGCTCAGTTGATGAAATCCCATAATTCACTACTTCAACCGGCCGTCAACAACAACAACAACAAGGAGCTCAAGTCGGTAACCGCGTTGCGTCTAGCACTTGGTTCTTATCCTTATTGATTGTTTCTTGTCGACTGGGATTAATATAGATGCGAAAAACAGTGGGACGTGGTGGTAAACAAACCGGTGGCCAACGGCAAGGACAAATTATTGTGGGCCAACAACGATGTAATCAACAATGTGACGTCCAACAAAAGCAAATTGAGTGCCAAACAGCATTATCTATCCGTGGCCAGATACGTTACTGGAAAGTCTACAACGTTACAAACCGACAATGAGTAAATTACAATAAAAATAAGAGTAGCATATTTCCAAAACTATAATTATCTACACTTTTTGACATTTATTGAGAATATAAGAAAAAACTGTTTAAAATTTTGAAAACAGTCATTATAGATATAACTTGCAATATAGAAATTTCTCTATACTTAGTAAGTAAGTACATGGTGAGTTGAGTATTTCTTTAGTTTGAAATTCGAGTAGGTTATCATTACTATTTTATAGTTTAAATGTCAAATGTTGAGTATAGGCATTTATTTTACTTGTCTCTGAATATAAACAACAAAATGTTTACGAGACATTAAATTGTTGGCAAAAAAAATATGAATTGAAAATATTTTAAGTTAACAACCAGTTGCTTAGACCATAATCTAAATATACTTTTGTAATCTAACTTAAAGGAAAATGGTCAAAGACCTGAACAATGATAAATTGTCATCGGCCAGCTATTTGTCGTATGGCGACAAAAACAGAGACAAAAAACGTTTAGTCGCAAACAGAAATGACTGGGTGGCAAAGTAAGGAATAGTGAGAACAGCTGTAATACTACATTATAGATGTAAAATAATTATATATTTTATCTGGGCAATGTTTTAGGTATTTTGAGTGAAGACGTTCAATCAAAGCTTAATTAAGAAATCAAACTATACAAACGAAGAAACGATCAAAATTATATATTAATTTTCTAGATAACTTAATTTTGTTGAATTATGTGATATAGGCACTTTATGCCATAGCATCAATAACCTATATAATAAATTGTTTATTAATCAAATATAAAAAAAACCTCTACGTGTTTGTAAATAATATTAATAAAAAACAAACAAATTTACAATGCACACTTAAGTATACGATTTGTTTTTTAAATATACCTACGCTTCGATGTGAAATTGTAATGGTAGAAGTACAAATTTCGATAAAAGCATTGTAATGACAATAATGTGTTAAAAGCCCCATCTTAGATTTAGAAAGAATATTCCATACAAATTTGGAACTAATTCAACTATTAAAAAAAAACGAATAGAGCGCCGTAATTCTAAGTTGAAAAATATGTACATTTTTTTTTACTGTTTTTTTCGATTTTGAAGGGGAGATTTTTTTTAAATGTTTGTCCTTGTAAAGCACCTGTAAGGTAAGATTTCAGATCTATAGTGTTGCTACATGAAGAAATCGATTCAGCAGCTCAGAAGATATCGTGGGTCAAGACAAACGCCGAAAAAATAACATCATTGTAAAAACAATACCTTTTCAACTCCGCATCTAGTAAAAATTTAAAAGATATTTCTGAAGTGAATCACTGAATTTTTTGTCAGAAAAACTGTTTACGTAAAAGTATAAAGATAATATTATTTATTTATTTAAAATTCTCAACAAAAACTATTACTATTTTACTATTATTTATTGTAAATAACGTATTAAAAATTCATAGAAAACTGTCAATTCGGAACTAACAATAAGATTGGATTTATTGGTTGAAAAAAAACCTAACTGGGCCGACCTTTCTTTTTTACTAAGAATATCCATATCAATATCTATTTGAGTCTATTCGATTTACGAGTCGCATTTTAAGAGCATTAACTAGAAAAAAAACAAAGAAATTTCAATCTAGCAATATACATATGAGATTTTCATAAAACATTTAAACTTTTGTAATTGAAAATAACATCAATTACAATTCAGGACAATTAATAAAACATGTTATTTTTTACCACGACTTGTTTTTTTTTTTTTAATTAACTTTTTTTACAATATTTTATAATACAATTATTATTCCAGTCGATCAGTCTAAATAAAAGCTACTTGTCAGTAGACTATGCTCAACTTGAAAATTCAATGACATACATACATTATAGTATTATACATACGTTATCATTAATTTTTAAATCGACACGGGACAGTAATAATATGTATGGGTGAATGAAATATTCTTGTTCTAATTATTATACTTGTAACTGTTTTTTCAATGTAACCAAATGACTAGTCGACCATAATAAAAATGTACTTATGTACTCGATTACTTTTGTGATCTAACTTAAGGCCTACGGGAAATGGGCTAACGACTTGAATGATAAATAATTTAAACAATTATTGTTATCAACCAGCCATTTGTCATACTGTGACCAAAAACACTTGGTAGTCGAAAAGTAAGAAATAGCGAGAACCACTGTAACTATTATTATAGATGTAAAAAACTACTATATATAACTGGAAATAGTGTTTCGGGTTTATTTTTAGTAGTGACATTGTCACAAACAATGTAAAAGAAGCTAATATCAAAATTATTTATTAATTTTCTCAACAACTTAATTACTATATTATGAAATTTGATGTAGGTAATCACTTTATTGTCACATCATTAATTATATAAATATTAAGTTATTTATTAATTCTTCTTCTTCACTAGCATTTACAACTCTATTAGTCTTTGCCGCCATCACTACATTATTTATTAATTAACTATAATAAAAAGTGCGCCCTTGCAAATAATAATTATTATACAAACAAATTAAACAATTTACAGTGCACAATTTCAGTGTAAAACTAATTTTTTATTGTTACAAAAATATATTAAATTACATTCTTTAAATGTTTTAAAGGGGCCTCTACATTTGTGTAACTATACATAAACGTTGAATGATACTCAGTTTAACAAATAAACAAAGTAACCAATTCATAAAAAAAACAGAGAAGTAGCTATAATGTTTTAGAAAAATAATTTATCAACATTAGTTAAGATATTAGATAATATTATTGAGAAATATAAGATTGATTTCAGTAGCACACTTCGTTTAAAACCTTATAAGTTTATTTATTCCTAAATTAAATTAAATATCTTTAAGTTCAAACTGAAGACAATAATAATATGTACAATATGAGTGGCAGTGCTAAGTTGTCAACTTGTTCAGTTTTCGCTTCGACAAGAGTCGCAATACCAATACCAAAAACAGTCAATGGGAGATGAACATCACACACCAAACCTAAAAATAAAACATATTTTAGTTATTCTTATAATATAACATAATACACAACCTGTCTTTTTAATTTTTTTCATAGTATATAAAAACATTAAAATTTTTAAGAAAATCATATAATATGTTACTAGTATAAATAACAGTTAAAATAATTTATTTATTGATTGAACTGCACACAATGCCGTATCCTCTTGGAACAAATACTAATAATATATAAAAAGTGTACAAACCTATGTATTTTAGTCCAATGACACATATTAACTGAGAACAAAAACAAGCGACTGAACCTTCAATGCTTTTAGTAGTGCCTGAAAAAAAAAAAAATTTAAAACGGTTCATCGTCTGTTATTATTTGATACTATTATCATACCTTTCCATTTGTGTTGACCGTATCGCGAACCTACTATGCTAGCGGCAGTATCTCCTATCCCTATTGAAAGGATGCCGGATAACAGAGGCAATAGACTGTTGATATCAGGTTGTGGATGGATCCAAAGCGGCAAAGAACATCCGACCAACAAGTAGATGGGAGTGAAAGCTATTGGGCCTTCATCCTTCTCATCAGAGTACACACGGAAACCATCTTGAAGGGCAATGTTTAAAGGTGAGATCTTTCCAACTCGCATAGTCTATTATCAAGGCAACAAATCAAGTAACAAATTGTAGAATATTTAAAGTATCATTGATGCAACTCGAGTCAAGATTTGCTTTAAATTCCTAGGGCCCTAAATTATAATAATACAATTTTGCATCCAAATCTACATAACAATAACCAACCCGGGTTTTATTTAAAAAAAAGGTCCGATCCAGCCAAGTTTTTTTTGGTATTCCAAAAAACACATTAAAAATTAAAAGCTATATTTTTGTGTATAATTTTTGCCAATTTTGGTGCCAAAATATAGATGATGCAGTTGAGTTCGAAACTACTTTTGATCATGTCAATATGGAGATCCTAAGTCAGAAGTCTGTAAATATCGGAATAAAACTACTAGTTTTGTGAAAAGTAATAAAGTTTCAAATTATTTTAAATTATACAAACAATTTTTTTGACAAAATTAACTATTAACAAGTATTTTCGTACAAATATTTGTTCCTACCTAACTAAAAAAAAGTTGTAAAATGTATAATTAATCACAGGAAACATGGACAAAAGAAAAAACGACTTAGTTAAAAAGTCCAAGGAATAAATGAGAGTTTTATGCAATGGCATTACTCAGCTATATTTTTAGAAGTAAATAGAATAAGATTATAATGAAGAATCTATAAAGAACTATGCGTAACCAAAGATCAAAAGATAATCCAACTCAAATAAACTAAATAATTACTAATTATTATTTACCTTTTAGTTTTGGAACTTATTTAACTTGATATAATTGGGGTAGCTTTTTTCATAGTTAAAAAAAATGTGAACATAGAAAATAATATATATATAAATATATACTTATTTGAAATCCAAAATTCATTAATATCAATTTTGAGCGTGCAAATATTTCATCTCTATAATAACAGTGTTTAGTGACTTTGTTGAAACTGGAGTTGTTTTTATCATTTGGCTCAGTCAATTACAAGAAAAAAAAATATTCTTGTTACAGCTTAGATTTTGTAAGCTGTAACAAGAACATATGTTTATGATGATGGTTAGGTCTATTTGCTATGTTTCTTGATGACGTACACTAATAAACAATAGCTCTAGTCTCAAATGTATAATATGCTACTATAATATAATTTTAAATTTTAGTATCCAACATACAGCTGCGAACCGAACATGGAATGAGACAACCCAGCGTGTATGTTTTCAGTAAAAATGTTTTACACATGGTGTATATTGAACATTACTAATATCTATTGGCCACTGGATTCCTAAAGAAATCCCATCTAACCCAAAAGTCTCATGTAGGTGGATGTTACCTCTAACAGTATGAAGACACCTAATGCTACACCACTGGCAGTGAACAGAAGACAAGGGTTGTGTACTAAGCCGGGAATGTAAACGAGGCAAGCTAGCAGATGGAAATTCTTCCTGATTGACGTGGACGCTTTGATATTTCTCTTGATCTGCACGTAGACAAATGTGACGGCAAACGCGGAACACCCGATCCAGTATAGCACAAGTATGATCTACAAACAAGAGGTTTATAAAAAATAGTAACATTTTTCTTAAATATTGAACTGTATTACCACATACCGTTTGCCGATCCTTGACGATCCACCGAAAGATTTTCATCACTGGACTATCGTTCAGAATGATATGGAGAGGTAAAGCGATAATAACGATGGTAAAGGCAAGAGCTACATAAAATAGACCGGGAGAGCGTAGCACTTTGAAATTATACACAGCCAAAGACAGTAAGGAGATGCCGACGATTCCAAACTGTAAATGCATAATTTACATATTTATATCCATTAAATTATAATAGACTAAATGAAAATAAGTCAAGATAGTTCAAGAAACTAACTGCTTTGTCAATACATTGATTTGAATCCATGTTATTAACATATAATTCTAACACGACTTGTTTAGAGTGTGAACTACAAAATTCTATTACTCAAGAAACACAAACAATCATTGATGATCGAATAATGATGTAATATGTTTTACAATAAGATGGTCTATGTTCAGTTTAACCTTTAAGTCAAAATGAGCAGAAGAATTTGTAAGCATATGTGTTCTTTCTTCTACTTAACTACCATACTTTTAACTATTCGGGATCACAACCTCCCTTCCATAATATGACCATTCGATCTTATTCTACTTATGGAGCTACACATAAGGCGTACCTATCTCTTTTCACGTCACACATGCATTTCAACATTCTTATTTCTGTTACACTCATCCCTTGTTCTGTTGACCTAATTCTATGGCTCAACTCTCTGATCACATTAAATATTTATATAATAAGAGCCGCCTTCATAACAGTCTTGTAGGACTTGCGTTTCAATCTTGTTGTCGACAATCGCTTGGCCCTCTTAACACTTGACGCCTGTCTACACCTCGTCTATCTCTAACATATTCTATAATATAACTCGGTGCAAACTCCCACAAACACAAAAAGACCCCTACCAACATCCTCCTACCACCACAGGCCGAGCCCTGGGCTTTCGAAACCGATGCATATCTTTTGCTCCACCTTGTATATTTCTTCTTCAGACACCATATTTTAAGTAATATGTACTTTATTGAACAACATTCTAAGGATATATTATATCTTCTCCTTTGATCAGTCCATGGCTACACTCTAAGTAATCTGTCTATTATTTTTATCTCTTTGTCTACCATGCAAATTATTATGATTCTATTATTGCAACTATCATATAACATTGGTTCACCTTTGAAAAACTCCTTTGCTAATTGTTCCGTCTGCAAGTGCCTTTGAATAAGTACCGTCCGCCACTTTCACAAAGGTACCCCTGACCACAGTGGAATTTGTTCAAAAAAAAAATAGAACACCCTGCTAGTTAGTAGACACTAACTATTTTAGCTAAAAGGGCAATCATATTCTTAATGGAAGCACAAGTGACAAGTGTTAAATCCAACAGTTGTAATTCAATATCTTGGTTGTTGACATATTATTTTTCCAGCTCTGCATTTAACTGGATTTTTAATTTTAAAAAGACATTTTCAAACCTGCAGGATTAACGTGGATACATCAAAGCAGGTGCGGAGTTGGAATGGCGATAGTATGTTCGTAAAGGAAGTGATGGCAAATAGTATTATTGCCTGTGTTACAATGGTAGCTTCGCCATAGGTAAAACTCATGGGGCAACGGGATATCAGCCATTTCAGAAGTCGATGGTAGGTCAGAGCGCAAAACGCAGCACATCCAACATTGTAAACGACACCTATGAGAATTTATTTCAACAACACACATACCTTAGACCATATAAATCGCAAGAAAGATGTAACACTTACCCAGTTCAGTGTGGAGAGTCAAAAGTTGTGCTACAGCCGCTGCAGTGACAATATAACTTATTGGTTTCGCAGGAAATCCATGACAATGTAATACGTTGGCAATGGCGCTGATTAAAAGGCCAATGCTCACTATGTAGGATATTACATAAGGCTCTGAATAGATTCTGTATTTATAGTGGCCAGTGATGATAGCACATGGTAATAAGAACATTAACCATATTCCAGGTGAAGCATTTCGTCTGAAAATTATCGTTAAAACAACAATGATTTAGAACAACGAGTTCTGTTCTATTCTGTATTACTACAATTTACGAGTATTGTATAAACTTCTACTAATACTGCATCATCATGCGAATAACATGCATGACGGTATATTAGAATGTATACACATACATGCTAATATACAAGTATAATCACCGAGTATATTATACAACAATATATAATGTATATTATCTGTAATTTTATACTCTGATGGCAACATTGGGCCTAAAAGGCCTCTTAAGCTACATGATGATGATGATGATATTTTTGATAGGTACTATCTTTCTCTCCAAGGAAAATGTTTACTATAAAACCTCACTCAGTACTTTGTAGAGGTTAGTGTGTAAAACTGGCGTTTCGATCTCGTTTAATGGGCTATCTTAAGTGAAACGGACAGCGGCAAACTTATTAAAGGACAAAAAACAATTTTTTTGAGGAATACTTTCTATAAAGGAGCTAATATGCCGATATTTTATTTAGTTATAAGATAACTAGTTAGATTTATTATTAAAAAAACTACCTATTAAAAATATGTCTATAACAAAATTAAAAAAAAAATGTTGATTTCTAGCCCCCATTGAGAAGATGTTAAACTTCATTAAACATTAATGGGAAACATTTTTTTTTTTAAATCGTTTAGCATCGTAATTACAGTTATGCAAATTTCTTGCTTAAACAGGGAGGGGAAACCATTCAAACACATAAATTTATTTTTTACACATTTAAAAACTATTTACTACTAATATAAAATTTCTCCAAAAACCGTAAAACGAACACCCAAATATACCGATATTTTTTTATAGGTAATTAATGCTCTCTTAAAATTGCAAAAATTAGAATACCTAGCCTCTAAAAAAATTGTGCTGAACAACATTTAACAAATCCTAGACACGACATTCCTCTTAAGCACAAACACAGCACGACGTATAAAAAATAAATAAAAGTAATGCGTTTTTTTTTAATTAGAATTCCCTTGTAAAAAAATAAAGTAAAAATGCTGAATTATCGTCAACAAAATATGAAGTAATGAATATTTAGAAAAGAAATTCAAAAATGAACTTAATATAATGCATTAGCATTTACTTTGTGGTTATTACAAAAACCATAATACTTATTATTCACTAGATTTATAATACATAAATATTCTATAATATAAAATACGTACACACTTAACTTAGATAACCTATTATTTTAACAAAATGTATAGAAAAATAAAATACTTTTTAATTTAGCGTCAATAGATAATTTACAAATCAAATGACGTTAGGGTCTCCAAAACGATCCATTGTCTTAACTTGAGCCGTTAGATCGATTTGTACTTTTTTTCTTAAATAGAATATTGGACAGTCTCGACTGGTGCAGATTACTTCTTCGTGTAGACTTCCTTGGCATCGTTGACACTCGGTCCATAAGCGACAAAATTTCTCTTGTAGTTCATTTACTTTCACCCGTTCCTTATAGTACAGCTCTCCTTGTTTTGGTAAACAGTATTTACACAATGCGTTCTTGTCTTCCCCATTGGGTAGCACACTCTTGCAGCCCAAGCATACTTCTTTTTTTTTAGTGAACGCTGACAAAGCACTTACTTTAGACGTTACCATTGCCTTTTTACGCGTATGGTCGCCTTTCAGTAATACTGATTCAGCTTTGTCCCCTAAAATTGGTGAAAAAATCCGTACCAACGGCTTAGACAATTGGTTTTCTAAGTAATAGTTAAAATCAATTGGTATATTGTTCTCCAACACAAAAATGGGATCTTCCGCACGCTGGTAAGCCGGTGAGCCTTTAGTACCTGTGATCAATACGTATGGTATACGATCTCCCAATTTAGGCGCATTTCCTGGATCTCTTTTCTTCATTTTCAATGACAACTCGACATGAGCTTGTTTTGCAGCGTAATCCGACTTGGTAAGTTCCTTGGTGATGACCAGCTGAGAGATGTCAATACGATTACACAGTAAATCGCCAATTACTTCTTTAGCATAAGCAACCGCACCATCAGGATCTCTATCGATCAGCAACTTCTGTAAACAAGTATTGATCATGTTAGCTACCAATGGCGAGTTATCTCTTCGTACTGTTTCCAATCCCTTACAATCCATTTTATCGTACTTATCAGGCTTTGTAAAGTAAAGACCAGCGTAACGCTTTTTATTGATAAGCAAGTACGGGAAATAAACCTTTTCAAAATCTAATTTTATTGGATTTATAAACTTTGTTGTTACATATTCAGCTGCTTCGCGGCCAAGTTCCATGGCTTTTTCAATCGATTTAACTCCAAACTTCACCATCACTGAATCTGTATCGCCATAAATGACAACCGCATCGTGTTCATAACCATTAGCAATACAATATTTTTGTTCAACTTCTTGTTTTGTTCGTTCAATCATCGTTCTACCATATGAAGTAACACTTGTAGATATTTCAAGACAAGGCAGTTTGCCTACTTGTGCTCCAGTAAAACCGTACACAGAATTAGCGCTAATTTTCAATGCCAGCTGTCTACCATCCAACACTTTTTGTTTAAAAGGATCAGTCTCAGACTTCAAATCATTTTTGGCCTTTTTACGGGCGGAAAGTAAATTTTCCAAAATTTCAGGCAAAAGTCCCTTGCGTATTGAAGTGGATAAGAAGAAACTACCCGAAGGGGTTTTTTTGTAATCGTTTTCCGACAGATTCAAAGTATTAATAGTTTTTTGGTTTAACAATGTAGTGTAACACAAATTATGAGCCATCATAATGCTCGGATACAAGGAAGTAAAATCTAGTGTTGCGATAGGATCGGCATAGTAACCTTTGATCGGCTCAATTACGGTAGCACCTTCAAATTGTTCGTCTTGCATACCACTAGTCATTGTTGGAATTATGTAACCTTTTTCCTTTGCAAGACGGAGCAACTGGGATACAACTTTTGCTTGTTGGCCACCGGTGAGCAAACTTCCCAACGGAACACCAGTTACTCTTGCCATTTCCATATAGTTAATCAAACACATTAGTTTATCCAAAAGTTTCAACGGAAGAAAAGCATCTTTTAAACAATAGACAGCCAATCGACGTCTAGTTTGAGGTGTACCGTTTTGCAAATCTGTAATAATACTGTGATGAACATCTTCTTTTTGTTCTTGTAGAAAGTGATAACTGACAGAGTTTAACGTGTACGATCGAAGCTTGTAATCTCTCACCAATACCAAGTACAAATCAAACGGAACTCTACCGTCAATATTAATGCTCTTGTTTTCTCTTCTACCCATTTGTTTGCTCTGTATCACGTGTTCCCTTATGACAGACTGGATATTCTTAATACGTCCTAAGAAGTTGAAATTTTTCGCGTTTAAATGCTTTGCTCTGTTAAGCAAATAAGGCAAATCAAAGTTATTGATGTTATAGCCTGTAATTATGTCTGGATCACATTCTCGTACAAACGCAGCCCATTTTTCAAGCATGTTGTTTTCTTTTTCACAACTTATAACTTGGCTGCCTACAATAGGTGCACATGTATTCAACGTAAACACATTTCTTATCAGCCGTTTATTTTCTACTTGCACCATGTTAGCTATTTGAATTACCGGATCTTTATCAGGTTCGGGAAATATTCCTTTACGACCGGCACATTCAATATCGAAACTAAGAATGCGAAATGGTGCCACTTTACTCCATTCTCCTTCAGGGGTATGACATATCATTTGTTGCCAACCGACATCCACTTCGACTTGGCACCTACTGTGCGGTTTTAATTGAGTATTATGCTTGCGAATCGTGTAAGTTCCAACAGGAAGTTCAATCCAACTGCATCCAACTATTTTTAAATCGACCATAAACCTCATATCATAATCAATATTTGATTCAAACATTCTATACTGATGTCCAGCAAATGCAGGAAAAACTTGTTCTTTTTCTAAAAGTCGTTTAGCCGTGGCCACGAGTTTTGGTAGTGCCATAGTTATTTTTAAATACTTTTCGTTTTCTTCACCATGATAACCATATATGTTTTTTTTCTCAATGATTTCTACCATTAGAACAGTTTCTTGTACTCTGTTTTGATTTCCACGCATATCATTCAACACAACAGCGTTTAGGCGATTTTTAAATTCTTTGCAATTTTGGGGTCCAAAATTAGTCGGAGCAGTTGCGTAAAAGTAAGGCGAGTACCCGTGTACATTACAACATACTGAATTGCCTTCCATAGTTATTCCAAACATACGAGTTATCGGAACTTGACCAGTTTGCGCACCACTCATCCCTTTAACAGGATCTCCGAGATAATAATCTATTGTGAGCTGTTGAAAAACTAAACTGTCAGTACTTGGACTAAGCTCTTTCATGGGTGGTCTAGACCACAGACCTCCGGAACCTTCTTGTTCCGGGCCTTCTCCCAATATTGCAGGCGATGCTTCGAAATCTTTGTCCATCTCCTCCATAAGAGCGAGATCCTCTTCAAATCTGGAACTTTGAAAATCGTCATCGTCATCATCTGTTTTGAATTTTTTATTGTAATTGCCAGATTTATCGGATGAATTTGGTCTTTTCTTATTAAACATCTTTCTTGGGAGTTAACTATAGTCTGCAACGAAAAACAAATTTAACAAATTGATTTTACTACTCTTTAAATAGAAAGATAAAATGTAATGTTCTACTCCCAATTTTCATATACTTTCACTAGTCCAATATATATATATATATATATAAATAAAACTTTATTAGATATAACATATGTACATTTATTTGTTTTTTAAATATATAAGTAAAGTTCTTACTAGTCAACTTGGCACGGTTGCGACGTTTATTTATCAGGAAGTCTTTCCCAATTTTGTTTTTTACTACTATTTTTTTTTATTACTGAGCTGAAGATAATGTAATATTTAGATTTAAATTATTAACATAATATCAATTTAAATAATATTGTTGTTTTGTTGATCTATTTGGCAAATAACATGAAATATGGAGTACCACTAGTTTTGCGTTTAAACTGCCACCGCCATGCTAAGTTATCTGAGAACTACTGTATCTTATGTTTATTTAATTTTATTATATGCATCAAGTACTTGACATACACAATTTGATAATTAATATACATCTAATAATTAATATGTTTTATAACAATTAAATTAATATTTAATTATAAATATTAATTATTTTATTATTGCTGTATAACATATTATACAGCAAGTTCATTCAGGCAACAATAAGTTTAATTAGCCATGAAATCAATAAAACAATGTAAATATATATAAATTATGAAAAATTATTAATTAAAAAAAAAAAAACTTTATGTCATGGTATAATTAAATTGGTGAGAATCTTAAACTGAAAAAAATGAAAAATGTTTCATTAATTTTTCCTTTTGTAAAAGTATTATGAGATACACATTATAGTTGTTATTAAATGAAAATGTTATTTCAATGCTGCTATTCAGACATAAGTTTAGTTCTAGATTTATTCAATAACCTTCTAGAAAGATAAAAAATATAAACATAACTATAGCAAACCACAAAGTAAACACTAGTACTTAAATAAGCCAATAATATATTTGAAATTTTACTTATTTAAACAAATATAATCATTTTGCTAGTTTTAGTTTAATGCATTCATGATAAATTACATAACATTGAAATACTAGACAATACAGTTATTTTTACCTACTCTGTGCTAATTTCCTTTCATCCTGTACTTCATGTCTTTCTCTATTCTTTACTCGTCTAATCCATATTTTATTTTTATTTAAATCTTATTTCTTATAGTATTTTATTGAATTTAGCACAATTTGTTTGTAGCTGTCGAGATTAATATTTTATTGAAATATTAGTGACTATAATATTATACTATAAACTGTAATGATATCAAGTATTATTAAACTAACCTGTACTGTAATTCTTCAGACTGCACTACTAAATGTATGTTTTTATTTAGAAAAGTGATAATTATGTTTATATACTCTAACATGACACAACAACAAAACACTTCATTGGTAACTGAATTTCTGAAAAATAATAATAAACGGTGAAAACTTCAGTAAGTCTTTATCATCCAAAGAAGCATAGTAGTGGAGTAATGTAAAAGAAAAAAAATTGAAAATGAATTATAATATCTATTATGGTAACAATAGATTATATATTTATGCTGGTACTTATTAGCTTTAACGGCTGCACAAACTAAGCGTTAAAGAAATTTTCAAAAAACTCAAGCTAACCAAACCATAGAAGGCAAGTGAAAATGAAGGCTAATATCTTTCTTTATCAGCATTTATACTTTGTAATTATTATACAATTTCCTAAATAAATAAAATGAAAAGCCCTCTCTTAGATAAGAAAATGACAAATGATAATTTGTAATGTTTTGCCACTGAATATCAAATGTTTTGAACTTGTTAATGACTAAAATTTATTCAGTTGTAACAAGTTTTGTATTTTTTGGCATACGTAGACAAAATCTAAGGATTATTCGACCTTACGATTTAATGATAAAATGTTTAACTGAAAAGGGACTAATAAACAACATACCTACCTACCCAAATATACTAATTTATGCAAACATTACAATACAATAAGATGCAACGTTATATGAAAAATATACAAACGTGATTTACCTATATTGTTCTTGACTATTTGAAATTGATAAAATATAAAAATATTGAACAAGTATTGTAGTACACTTCACACTTGGTTTCTAGTTTTTTAATCAAGTAATAATTAGGCACTAATTTACAGAGTATATTATAGTTTAGTCACTTTTGTTGTATTATTCACTTTTCAAGGAGAAAAAGCCAAAAGAAATACAATATCAGCGGGCGATGTTCGTCCTTCAAATGGGTTCAATACTTCCAACAATTGGACTTCAATCTACAGAGCTGTTGTAGAACGTTCAACAATGAGTACTGAGTAGATACATTCATAGCCTAAGTCAAATGTCAGAACTCGGAACACTCGACATTCGACAACAGCAAAATAACCTAGAAAATAGCGGGAAATTAATGATAACGACTGATAAGGTCGGTTCGGTCATGGGTTGGAAAACGATAAATTTTATAAATTTGTATACGTTTGTAAAGCGTTTGAAACGTTGAAAAAAAAATATAAATAAATTTTACTACTCATTTCTGACATATTTTGCCGGTCGAACGTTGAATCGACTCGTTCAATCGAGTTGTGTATTTTTCACCGGACGCCACCGGTTGTTGGTCAGTTTATTTCTTCCATGGAGGCTGTCTAGAATGTTCTAGAATGCCGCGTATTGTGCAATATGCGGTAAGCCGCTCGCTCGCCGACTACGCGGGGACCGGGGTGGCGTTACTTTATTTCAGCCATTGATCTGGTCGTACGCTGTTCACTGTTGCACCGTTCACCGTAAAACCGCCATTCACCAATAACCGTGTTATTTCTACTTGTATTTCGTAACTTGTAAGTATCAAAATTATGTTTTTAACTTTGTTATAGTCTATGAAGACTTGCGTGTTCGTGTTGAGTTCCAACCTGATGGTCATTGTTGCTTTATTCGATTAGCATCTCGTCGCAAAATTGCTGGAACCCATTATTAGACCGTAAACGACGCCTCGTGGTTTTTTGTTGGGTCTTTGTTTCAGGCTAGTCGAATGTCATGTAGACACCATTCGATCGTTTTTTGTTGAAGATTCTCACTTATTCAACGATTTTTCATTTGTTTTTATTTATCGGCACAAATTTATGTTTACGATACCTATACAGTTTTATTATGTACGGGATACATTCGAAAGGTGAGCGTGGCGTGGGGTTACATCCTCTCAAAACGTTAGATGTCATGCTCGAGTTATTCCAAACTTGATTATTTTCATCTCTTTGTCAATGGTTTGTTTCTTTTTTATTCTTTTTTAGAATAATTGGTTTCCATATATACCATTTGATTAGTAAAGTGCCATAGAAATATCGCTACTCCATTAGGAGGCAGCACTTGTACAAATTAGTAGTACCTCGTTACATTTTATCACCTAACCTAACACCATTTATTATGCTCGTAGTTGTCAAAATATACTTCTACTAAGTTTTTGGTCCAATTTTTAGTATTTTAAGTCAAAATTTACTAAAAATACAATTTTTATGAACAGATTAAGTATTTAGTTGATAAATTATTGACTATAGGTTGGTTATATTGTAGCCTTTATAAATTAAAAAAATTTTCAGTTATATAGTTGATAACGATAAATGAAAATTATAATAAAAAATGTCTTATTATATTTATAATTTTTTTTTTTATTAAAAAAGAAATATTCTTGTTAATTTGATAAATTTGAATTATTCCAAATGAAGAAATGTCTTGTGCACTAATTAGAAAGAAAAATATTAATAGGTTTAAATCTATCAAACTCTACAGACTAGTTTCTAAATAATGTTTTTAACATAATATTGTTTAAAAGTATATTTTAATAAATTTACTCAAATACATAACATAGTTATATTGAAAAATTGAATATTGTGCTTAGAAATTCTGTAGAAATAATGCATCCATGGTTATACCAAGTAAATTTTCTAACGATGTTACATGCCTTTTACCTCTACTAAATTGCGAGTTACAATTTTAGTGTATTATTATTATTATATATATTTTTAATTATTATAAATTCCAGTATGACAGAGAGACCTTGAATTCAAATTGGATCGTGTGACTATTTTAATAGACATTGTTTTCGTTTATAAGAGCTGTCTTTTTGAAATTAAAATAATTTTTATTAAATATATAAAATTAAGGCTAGAACAACAAAAGAATAGGAACGCGGGACTATTAGACTGGCCTGGTTTGTAGGAAATCGACTTGTGGTTTTTTTATTGAATTAATCTGGTCTGAAAGTCCAGGTTAGCATATTAAAGTGAGGTCATTTCCTGTCCTTGGCCTTGGTATGGCCTGGTGGATGCGCATAATGTGAAATACTAATGGAAAACTAAAGAAAAATTATTTTATAAGACAAAACTAATATTTATATATTATATATAATTTTAAACTAAATTTTGTTTTTGCAGTATAAAATTAAACCAAATACAAAATGGCCAAAACTCCTGCTATTGGTATTGATTTGGGTACCACCTACTCTTGTGTCGGTGTGTTCCAACACGGCAAAGTAGAAATTATTGCCAACGATCAGGGTAACCGCACGACTCCCAGTTATGTCGGTTTCACTGACACTGAACGTCTTATTGGTGATGCGGCTAAGAACCAAGTTGCCATGAACCCCAACAATACTATTTTTGGTAATTAATTTTATTGAAACAATATTTTTGTTTCAATCTATATGCAGTGTATTAAATGTATGTTATAATTTATTTTATAGATGCCAAACGATTGATTGGTAGACGTTTCGAAGATGCCACCGTTCAAGGTGATATGAAACATTGGCCTTTCGAAGTAGTCAGTGATGGAGGAAAACCCAAAATCCGAATTAACTACAAGGGAGAAAGCAAAACTTTTTCACCTGAAGAGGTAACAATTGAAAGAACTATCAATGGACCATTTTTATATTATCGGGAATTTGTATGCTTGTAGGTGTCTTCAATGGTTTTAACCAAGATGAAGGAAACTGCTGAAGCCTACTTGGGAAAGACTGTCACAAACGCTGTGATCACTGTCCCTGCCTACTTCAACGACTCGCAACGTCAAGCTACCAAAGATTCTGGCACCATTGCAGGGTTAAATGTAATGCGTATTATCAACGAGCCAACAGCTGCTGCCATCGCTTATGGTCTTGACAAGAAAACCTCTGGAGAACGCAACGTCCTCATCTTTGATTTGGGTGGTGGAACTTTTGATGTGTCCATCTTGACCATCGAAGATGGAATATTTGAAGTAAAGTCTACCGCCGGTGACACTCACTTGGGAGGAGAAGATTTTGACAACAGAATGGTAAATCACTTTGTTCAAGAGTTCAAACGCAAGTACAAAAAGGACGTGACAACCAACAAACGGGCATTGAGGCGTTTGAGAACCGCTTGCGAACGTGCAAAGCGTACTTTGTCTTCGTCAACTCAAGCTAGCATTGAAATCGACTCGCTGTTCGAGGGTGTTGATTTTTACACCTCCATCACTCGTGCTCGTTTTGAAGAGTTGAACGCCGATCTGTTCCGCAGCACCATGGAACCAGTTGAGAAATCTCTGCGTGATGCTAAAATGGACAAGTCCGCAATTAACGATATTGTTCTTGTCGGAGGTTCCACTCGTATTCCAAAAGTACAAAAGTTGTTGCAAGACTTCTTCAACGGTAAAGAATTAAACAAATCGATCAACCCTGATGAAGCCGTAGCTTATGGTGCCGCTGTGCAAGCTGCCATTTTGCACGGAGACAAATCCGAAGAAGTGCAAGACTTGCTGCTGCTCGATGTCGCCCCCTTGTCGTTGGGTATCGAAACCGCTGGAGGTGTGATGACTGCTTTGATCAAGCGTAATACAACTATTCCAACCAAGCAAACTCAGACCTTCACGACCTACTCTGACAACCAACCTGGTGTGTTGATTCAAGTTTATGAAGGAGAACGTGCAATGACCAAAGATAACAACTTGTTGGGTAAATTCGAACTTACTTCTATTCCACCCGCACCTCGTGGCGTACCCCAAATCGAAGTAACGTTTGATATTGATGCCAATGGTATTTTAAATGTGAGTGCCATTGAAAAGTCGACAAACAAAGAAAACAAGATCACCATCACCAACGACAAAGGACGTTTAAGCAAGGAAGATATCGAGCGCATGGTCAATGATGCCGAGAAATACAAGTCGGAAGACGAAGCTCAAAAGGGAGTTATTGCCGCCAAGAACAGTTTGGAATCTTATTGCTTCAACATGAAGAGTACCATGGAAGACGATAAAATCAAGGACAAAATCCCTGAATCCGACAAATCTACGGTTTTGGATAAGGTCAATGAAACAATTAAATGGTTGGACGCTAACCAGTTGGCCGACAAAGAAGAATACGAACACAAACAGAAGGAATTGGAAGGTGTATGCAATCCCATAATCACCAAGTTGTATGCAGGCGCTGGTGGTGGTGCCCCTGGTGGTATGCCAGGCGGCATGCCCGGAGGCTTCCCTGGTGGTATGCCCGGCGGTTTTGCAGGTGGAGATCCAGGAGCCGGAGCACCTGGAGGTGCCGGAGCTGGACCTACAATTGAAGAAGTAGATTAAAAAACCAGTCTTTCATTCCTATTTTTCTATGTTTCCATTATTAGACAATATTAATTTAATGGTTTTACTTTGGGCTACTCATGCTACAAGTCGCCCATTGAAAAGAAAAAAATAGACAGTATGTAATTTTTCTAAAGAATTATGTATTAAATCATTTTTTTTACTTCATCATGTTTGTTTGTTTTTTCCTTCCTGCATTTTTCTAAAATGTGAAATCCATACCTTAGCAAATAGACTAATACATACATAAGGTAATATATATTTAAGTTTAAAAAAACTTATGGACAAAATATTTTTAAAAGTTAATTTATAACTTTTCAGCTTGGTAAAACTAATTTCAATGAAATTATATAACTTGCAGACATTAATACAATGTAAAGATAAACTTGAGTACGACTTACAATTCAAATTATTGTACCTGAAATAATATTACTGTTAACACGTTAATTCGTGAAGCTACCACTACAACACTATGTTGATTGTCGTCAATTGATACTTATTAATGTTTCAATTCCAGTCCTGTATAAGCCTTTCAAAACTAAGACTTATAAGTACATGTTATGACTCATGTACTATGCAATATTTATAAATATGAATAAGGTACCAAAATTGATTGAAAGTATGTAAGTTTTATTAATTCATAAAAAAAATTATGTGAAACTGCCTACAAAAAATCACTAATAATGCCATAAATATTAGCAAAAACGGTTAATAACATTATTTTCTTTTCGAATTTATTGAGCGAAATACGTTACTTGGAATGGATGTGAGACCTATTTCACTTATTTTTTATTTCTCTTATTAGGATACTTTAATTTAACATTTTTTTAATACTTCAAATACAATACAAAAATTAATTAATAAATATTTTTTAACTACGATTATTAGTAACATTGGTGAACTAGTTGAAACGTCTAATCTGACAAGTTAAAGATTTTTCAATATTTGCTTTAAATATCAATTGAAGTACATTTTAAACTTTCGTTTTTTTGTTGTTATAACATTTTTTTAATATTATTAATTTTTCACACAGAAATTATTAATAACTAAAACTGGTTATAACTGCCACGATCGATAACTTGTATAAATGTTTTGAAGAAACCAAATATTTGTACAAAACCTAAATTGGATTATTTTAAAGTATACACGTACTGTTTTCGAAGTAGAAACATGTTTTTGTACAAAAATTGAGCCTGTATGCGTTTTAAAAGTTGAAAAACAACACATTACTTTTTCGTGTGTTAACAAATATGTTAACAAATTTTAGGTTAATGCAAGTCTGTAAAAAATTGCCTTTATAATGTGCCTTAATAATTGGTAGTGGGAGGTCCATTATTGTTGTTTTGTCAGGGGGAAAAACTTCCTATTTTCAATTTAACGTATAATATAATTTAAACTATAAAATCGAAAAAGTAGAGTATATTAAAACATATTTTAAATAAAAAAACATTTTGTTTTGGTTATTTTTTGATAGCTTATTCTCGATGTATGTAATTGACATATATATTCTGGTAAAAACAAGCATTGTCTAAAATAAATAAAAAAAACGCAAATGCCTTAGTTAATATTTATGTCAATATTTAACATTTAATATTAATATTTAACAACGTCAGTTCATAATTTTGGTGGCCGGATACATTTTCAACTGATACAATTTTTAATAAAGTAATATTTAATGGGGATAATATTTTTAGGTGTTCTCAATATTTTAAACAAAACGAATGTAACACCATCCACACATTATGTCAATATTTAAATACTTTTATTTATATTTATTATATTTTTATAATAATAATATAATTTAATGGAACATAAAAAAAAAATTATAATTATCTATATATTCCTAATTGAATCACAGACATTTTGAACAGTTGTTCGTAAATGATGTGTTAACTTTGTCGCCAGATAAATATATATATATTTTTTTATACAAATTAAAGTAAAATCCGATAAACAGGCATCAAACGTTTAAGTATATTCATATACATATGTATAACTATATTATTTATATATAACTAGGTATTTACTAATGTCAAAATGTTAAGTATTAAAAGAACGAGCATTTGTCCAACGCACGCAGGTACAAGTTCGGTAAAATCTAAGCATTACGTTAAGTAGGTATATATATATATATATAAATATGTTTGGTAATAATAATAATAGTTATATAATAAAGGTATTCTACATTGGTTAACATAAAATATTATATAAACCGTTATACGAATTAAGTAGTCGTCTAACATTTTTTTAAGGACAAACAATATATTTAAATAATAATTGAAGAGTGAAAGTGTCAAACGTTCCAAGTGCCAAAGTATAAAAATTGAACTTTATAATTTGATTTGTATTTTATTCATTACCGGAAACACTTTAACATATTTTTGAGTTTAAATATGATTGTTTTTTTTATAAATAACTATTCTTTACTTGAAAAATTTACAAAATTGTTTCCGGTAATAAATAAAATACAAATCAAATTATAAAGTACAATTTTTATACTTTGGCACTTGGAACGTTTGACACTTTCACTCTTCAATTAAAATATAATATCATCGCGATAACAATATCTTTTACGTACAATCGTTTTAATTAAATTAACTATTTAATTGTATGTACATTTTAGGGGGAAGGGAATGAATTATACATATAATATGTAAATATATATATTTAGTATATTTAGGTATATGTATAACATTATATATTTGTTCAAACATTTTGTTGTTGCGACCATGTTAATTGAACATGTTATATAATATTAAACATTTGCATAATACGTCGCATATTTGCTTAAATTGCTATTTAGTTATTTATTTATTTTTTGATTGATTTAATAAGAATACTGATGCGTTGTTTGATAATAATAGTACAAAAAAAAAAAAAAAAATTAATATAAAAATAATATTATATTTTTGTCTTTACAACGTGTTTAATTCACAAAAACAAAAAACAATAATATAAAATTCTAAATAATACTACACAAAATAGAATGCTGAATACACGCGTTGCGCAAAAACGACACAATATATTAAAAATAATAAGGTAGAAAATAAAAAAAAATGTTTATAATATTATTTGACGACATAAACGGAATAGGTAAATATTAGGACAACCGTTAAGGAGAGAGTATTATAATTAATCGCGATTGCATTTTTTTTTTTTTTTTTAACATCAATAGGTGCATAAAATTTGTTTTTTGCTTAACAATTAAGTAGCATTATTACATATACATTGACAATATTGAGAATGATAGATGACGATAGTCTACGAGTATCAACAAACGATATACATACAATAAACTAAGTAGCGTATTTATTATAATAAGGTAATGATAAAGTTTTGGAGATTTTGGAATCGTAAAGCATAAAAAAAAAAGGAACTCGAATATGATATAGTGAAGGACTGAGGGGGTTAAGTAGATAAATTTATTCTACTTGGACTTCTGAGCCGAGAACAAGAGAATAGCATGTAAGTAGTGCGTATTGAGTAAGTAGCTGGGGTTTTTTTTTTTTTTTTTGTTCTTTAGCGTGTTGTTCTAAACATTGATCCGAGCACGGGCAGAAATTATGTACATATATAATCGGTATTTAATTGGGCGGTCACGTATCGGCGAAAAGCTCTTTACCGCAGTCGTTGTCTTCCAAGTTCATTTCGTTTTGTCGTATCAACAACTTTGTGTAGCCCGAATGTTGTCTGCGATTGCGTTTGATCTGTCCAACGAAAATGAAAAACATTATTAAAAAAGCAAAAAGTTTCGAAAAAAATTATAATAAGCAAGCTCTGCGGTCAATACACTGAATATTACTCAGTCTATTACCTAATTAAAATAATTTTTTAGTAATTTGAGTACATTAAGAATTATTATACAGTTTACTGCGTATAGGGGACGGTTAGTCATTCACATGTGCTCACCATGACGACGGACAATGTGGTCAGTATCGAGGCGAATACGGCGGCCATCAGATACACAATGGTGGCGGCGTTCACCACGCTGGCGTTCTTGCGGGCTTCTGGTTTGACGGCCGCGGCTTCCAGCTCGAGGTCGACAGACGTCCGCCGTTTTTCGGCCGGCGTCTCGTTGTGACACTCGCCGGTTTCGTTACTGCAGGCGCAACAACCGTCCCGCGGATGGTGCGAGCCGCAACACGCGACGCACTGCGAGTTCTTGCGGTCCAGGTGCAGCGGGAACATGCACGCCGAACAGCTGAACGGACCCGGTCCCGTACACGCACGGCACGACGAATGGCACGGTTTGCACAGTTGCGTCGGCGGATCGTAGTACTGCGATCCCGAGCACTCCGAGCACAGGCCGTCTTCGAGCATGAAATGCGGCGGACAAGACGTGCACTGGAGCGGACCTTCGCCTGGAAAAAAAAACAACAACAAAGTGTAAACAAGAAAACTGCAAGAGCGACGGACGGCATTTACCTTTGCAGGTTTTGCAGTAATGATGGCATTTCTGGCAGCCGAAATCGGACATGAAGAACCCTTGCGGACATTCCGGGTGACACTCGCCGGCGGCCAACTGCCATCCACGCGGGCAACTCACGCACTGATCTCTGCGCGGACCGCTACACGTCATACAGCTGAGATAACATTTAGCGCAAGATCCCACGTCGCTGTAATATCTGGAAACCCCAAAAAGACGTTGAAAACAATTGTTTCCAGTATTTTGATAGGACACTACTCACCCGGGAGCGCATGTGGTGCGGCACTGGCCGGTCTGCAGCAGTAACGGCGAATGGCACGTGGTACAGTTGGTGCGGGACACGCATTCGACGCACGGGTGCGGGCACGGTTGGCACGTGGCGTAGTTGCCGAACCGCAAGTCCGGGTAGAAGCCGACGGAACACTGGTCGACGCATGACCCGGGCGCCTGGAACATGGCCGGGGCGCGACAGGTTAGGCAGTTCTGTTCGGACGGGTCGTTGCAAGTTTCGCACGAACCGTGGCACGCCTGGCACTGGGTACCGGTCCAAAACTGGCCTGCTTCGAATGGTGACAAAACAAATTATTAAGTATGTGCGAGCAAGGTCGAACTCAGCTAACCGTTTTCCGCCCAAAACGAGACCGTTAACAGTCGCCTTTACCGTTGGGTTAATGCAAACGCAAGAATACAGTATCCCGTCAAAATAAACCAGTAAGTATAGTCATTATTATGGTCCTTAACTAGGCTTTTGGCGGACAAACGGTAACCCGTATCGGACAGCCGGTCCTGTCGGTTGACTTACCTGGTTGACACTGTTGACTGCCGTTTTTGGCGCAGCGGCCTTTGCCGTTCAACGCGAACCCTTCGTCGCACTCAAAGCAAACGGTCGAGTTGCACGACACGCAACCCGCCGGGCAGGCTAAACACTCGTGACGCTTTTGATCGGCATAATGAAAATCGGGACACTTTGCGTGGCACGCGCCTTTGTGTTCGAAAAATCCGCTCTTGCACGTTATACACTGGTCCGGGTTGGGTCCGGTACACGAATCGCACTTGGAGTCACACGCACCGCATCTGTATAAGCATCAAAGAACGGGGCGTTAGCGCGGCCAATGTAAATTGTACATATATGTACTACCAATTACACGTATGTGCAACGTAGTACATACGTGTTAATTAAATACCATATTTTGTTCGGTCTAATGTCAAACGATATAGGTAATAAAAAATCATTAAAATTTCGATTAATTTGTATTTGATTTTCGTTTAAATTATAATTAGTTTTGTTGATGTTAAATTTTGTATTTTGTTAATTTGAGCTTAATAAATAATAATAGTATAATATAGAATTCCTATTCGGTAATAATAATGGATCCAATATTCAGCATGTCGTCAGTGGACACAGCACTCCAAAACAATAATACAAACAAATGTATATTATACTATAAGCTAGAAAATAAGAGAATTCTGAAAGTCTCTTCCAGTCTAACCAGTTTAATTATATGACAACACACGAGCACTCCTGGGGTGTAGCAAATCACACTCCAGCACTTACCTATAGTCGTTTGTCTCGTAGGTGTTGACTGGGCAATTGGCGTAACACTGGTTGTTGTGCAGGACCAAGTGGTGTTCACAGCTGGTACAGAGGTCGGGTCTGCCTTCGCAGCTACCGCAGTTCGGACCGCAAGCCACGCAAGTGCCTTCTTCGGTGTCTGTGGACATAGACGGGGATGATTGATTTAAAACAAATTACAGACACCAACTGCCCAGGAACGGCACTCGGCTTGTTTTTTGGATACTTACTTTCGAAATATCCGTCCGGACATTGTTGTAAGCACACGGCCAAGTCGGTGACCCTGAGGTGGGCTGGGGCGCAAGTCAAGCAACTGTCTTGTCCGGCACCGGCGCAAGTTTCGCACGACTCGTGGCACGGCCAGCAAACGCCTCCTTTGTTAGGGAAACTGCGCGGAGGGCAACGGCTGACACAAGTACTGAAACAATTGTTGGGCGAAACGGCTTTCTTAGTCAACAAAATTACAAAAATGTCAATTCTTCTCTCAAAAAACAAAGACATTGAATCGTAAAATTGGTCAACCGATTTTTTTTTTTACTCTTGTCAATAATCTCTCGTTAGGTGATTCTCCAATTATTCAATTTTCTTATCAAATTTTTACCAGGAATTCAAAAGTCATAGTGTATTAATAGAAGAATAAAGTTTTGGCCATATCCTACAATATAGTAAGTGCTATCCCATAAAACCCCGACTTCATCGTCGTTTACAGCGAATAAAAACGAGACCCGTTTAAATATTGGTCGCTATAATGTTATAGCTTTTATAATGGAAACTTCGACTACGTTGGAATATTATATTATTATTGGATTATATTGGAATATTCGACTGTTTATAGATGAAAATTTCCGTTATTATTATTATTTATTATAATTGTGTAACTACATGACGTCAAGTGGTTTCTCGGCAGTTCTTAGTATTATATTTTCCATCTTAAAAATTTATGTATGTGCAAAAGTGTTTGGAGTTAATCGGACAAAACTTATAAGAATCATTAGAAATAAACGCAAGAGAGATATTTACATTTGTGACGAGCCTGCGAAATGCAAACGCTTATTAAAACTTGGTTTTGTTGGCGTTTATTTGGTTATTTACCACCATTTGCATTTTTGAAGTTCTTCAACGGTTTAATAAAATGTAAATAGCGCAGAACTTCGGATGAACTACTATGGAACATAAGTCAAATATTGCACAACCGACAAAATGTTATTGATATTGTTCTTTGGAAATTTTCATAAAACAGTCTACCCGGGCGACAATAATTGTTGCCTAAAAGTCCGAACTGTAAAAACAACCGGACCGAGTGGTAAATATATTTTTTTGTTACCGAACACTTTTGTTTTGCTCAACAGTAACAGTTAGCCTGGTATAAATTAAGAAGAAAAAAGATTTACGCTCGTCTCGGTTGGTAAGTCGTTGTGGTAAATTAAAAAACAATTACAGTCGGTCGTTTTCTACAAGCATTTCAAATAGCGTTGGGGCTGTTTAAGTTTTTGTCAACGTTATTCGAATAAATGTTCTGCTCGGTAACGAAATAGAATAATATAATTGCGGTTTTCAATTATCTTCTTCTTAACCCTTGTTCTAGGACGAAAAGTTCTCTCACTCTTGGAATCCCTAAATTCACCAGCGTCCCTTTATTCACTCCGCAAGTCCCGCGATATATATATAGAAGAAAAAAAATAATGAACTAAAACAATACGGTTAGGTCAGGTTTATTAATACGGTAAAAATGATTCACGAATATTTTGTCACAACAATCAAATTACATTAATTTTCTTCTACATTAAATCAAAATGTGGCGTTCAACTTGCTATTGGAGTTGCCAAAATAGCAGAAAAAATGAAAAAGAAAACAGCATTTGGCACAGGCAGGGAAATGTAAAAGCTATAGCTATAGCTTCCAACTGTTTGATTCCCGGAATTTCAAAAAGCCAATATTATAAATTGAATTGCTTATGCTATTCAATAAAATAGCAGTGAAATATCAAAACAAGTCGTAAGTAGGTATGTGGAGTGAATAAAAAAAAATATGGCGATGGATAGAGAATTGTGGAGGGTTCGGTTTCGGCTGGCCGACCCCATTTTGTACGGGATAAAGAGACGAAGGGCAATGCTAAGAAGAGAAAGAAAAAGTCAAAAGTTATATTGGCTTACTTGTCAAGTTTAAAGTTGCGACAGCCGACGCATTGGGTCGGGCCTTTGCCGTAGCATCCGATAGAGTCACATTCGGGGTCACAGTCGTGCAAGATCATCTGTCCGTCGATGGGTCGTTCGACACTTGTCTGGGAATTGGAACGGGCGCTCGTCAGTGAAGTGACGGAAGGCTGAAAAGAGGATAATGCGTTAGAACTTAATATAAAAGCTCCATCCAAAAATATAGTTCCAGAAATTTGTCAACAATTAATGTAGTGCATACATACTACTATTTCACTCTTTCGAAGCGGTAAGAACCAAACGGTATACGTGCGCATTCTATTTTTTTATCAATTTATATATTGGTTAAGAACCAATATATATAGATTTTCCGTTTTACTAAAAAATGGCACTTGAACATTTTGATTGTCACCTCTTCTCTATAGTTCTATTGTACCTAAATACATTTTATACTGTCCCTAATATATAATTCGTACTATTTTGGAAATTATGGGACTTGTCACTTGTATCGTTATTTTATATGATTTATTATTAATTAATGATTCATTTTTAACCATTTCACTTGAAACCGGTTTTTATTTACTTTTTATCGCTTTTTTGACTATAGTGTCTTTGCCCAGGATCGGGCAAGCGACAAGCTTACCTCGTATTCGCTGCCGGCGCCGAACACGTCCGGGATGCTCGCCGGCGGGAATCCGGCCCGTTGCAGTATGTCGGTTATGACGCTGCTGTGGTACACCGACGGGTTGGACACGGGTTGGCCGCCGAGTTGGGCGTACGGGAAGTTGTTGTTGGGCGGCTGTTGCTGCTGGGGCAGCTGCTGGTGGTGGTGTTGCGACGATATGGCGAACGGCGGTGACGGCGGCGGCGACTGCGGTGACCGCAGTCGGATCGGGTTGGTGGCCGTGCCGTAGAATATGAGCTGCCACTTTTTCAATATGCCCGGCTGGTTGACGTGCCGGTTGCCGCCGTTGTGTACGGTCATCGTCCACGTGCCATCCACTTTCTCGCCCCAGTAGTGCACGCTCAGGAACGGCCAGTCGTCGAAGTTGGAACTGACCACGTCTCGTGGACGTTCGAATAACAACGTGGACGTGGTGCCCAGCGGCGACGTGAGGTCGATGCGCAGGTTGCCTCTCGGGAAGAACCTCAGTGAGATCTTGCACTGCACGTGCTCGGCGAACCGCACTTCGTTCAGAGTGCCCTGGCATCCTCCCACTTCCATGGAAACTGTCAGCGTGCTTCCCGGCGACGGGTCGATTTGCCTGCAACAAAACGACCACAGCATGTACAAATAAGACACAAAGCTATCTGGGTAAAATGTATACACCCATTTCGGCACTGGTTGTCTTGCAAGGCACAAATGCTCTTTTCGGGCACCAATTAAAACGTGGTAAAACTGGAGAATTTACAGGTAGTTTAAACCCATACTTGTTTACTCTAGTAATAGACTTATTAAGGGTGACGCACCTTAGTAGTGCCTGTTGTTTGCGTATGATGTGGTTTTGGTGATGGGAGTACAGAAGTGTTAGAAGTCAGAGACAAGAGCCATGGAAACGGGCATGGAAGAAAAACGGCTTGTGAACAAGAAGTAGGTCTAAAACAGAGTTTAGTAATGAGGAGGATTTAGAAATATTTTATTTTGCAACAGTTATGCATGAGAATGGTAGGACTGAAGGAGCTGTGTGACAAAAAGAGTAGCAAATAGAGTCAAATGAAAATTGTCTAAAACGGTATTGAAGGTAAGAGAAGAAGTTTGGAAAATGCGCCGGTAGTGATTACATTTAGTCTGAAATGTTACTCCTCGCCTTCCAATAAACCACGCTCTGCTACGACTTTTTTTTTTATCAGATAAAATGAGCAAAAACCGATTGAGATTTACAGAAGAATAGGTGGACGGATATGGTAAATAAAGAAACGAAGGAGTGTGCAAGGCGGAGAAGGGTAGGTGGAGACGAGCAATTTGTATGGAATAGGGCGCAAAAGAAGAAGCTACAAATGGAAACATACCTTTCTTCGGCGATTTCCTGGGATTTGCAAATGTGTTGCGGCGGCACTGTTGTCCATTGTTCGGCCAAAGAAACCATTCCACCGGCGTCCATCAGACCGTAACCGAATTTGTGACTCACTGTGAAACCGAAACGATAATATTGCGTCAATAATAAAACCATTTTACTAGCATTAGCAAAAGCGCAGCGACAATCGAATTCGATACGTTTTACATGTACTAGTAATAGGTAGTATAATTAGTTTATCACAAATGGTGGGGTGTGTGTGTGCATTCGGTTAACCAATCAACCTTGAGATTTCTATACTTTAGTTAAAAAAGCATAATAAAATAAAACCGACCCTATAATTTTCCAAAGGTTCTAAAAACGATACGACCACGACTTTAGCTTTCAAAATTGTTTATTTCTTACCATTTTTTTTATACATTTTAATAATCTTACCTGTTTTAAATTTTATGATTATTGTTGATATAAAATACTATTATTATTATTATTATTATTATTATTAACATATTATTTCATAGCTTTCGGATAAGTTAAGCTTGTTGGTAGTTCTAAATTTTGTAATTTGTTTTTATAGCATATTTTATTAATATTTTTGTTGTTTTAGATTTTTTTTTAATTTCTACCTAAAATTTCGTTTCTTGAAATTCGGGTAAGAACAGGTTCTAAAGTGTAGAACTAAACACACAACAAAAAATAATAGACTCCTGTAAATTAAAACATCCAATTTGTATTGTGTATAAAAATGACACAAGCAGGACAAAAATTTGAAATGAAGAATGAAGTTTTGTAAAAAAAATACAAAAACGAGCGCAGGTATGTGAAAAATAAAAATGTTCAATCTTATATTTTGGCAAAAATTATTAATAGGTAGATTAGCACATCGCATTGTTTAATAACTAATTTATCAAAAATCTTCAAAAAAAAACCTAATGGTAAAACAAGTTTGACACGTGACACGCTTGCCAGTTTGTTCTGATGAAGATTCAATATTTTAAGTTGATGCGAATGTTTTTTAAACGTTAACACAAGTCTACTATAATTATTATACCAATTATAAAATAGCCGAACCAAAAGAACACGATTATTTTTAACAAAGAATATGATTTTGCAATAGCACGTTAAAGTAAAAACGAAATGAAAATAAGCAAAAAATGTCATAGTAATAATAAATAAGATCGATAAATGCGAAGAAGAAATAAAGTCGATTAAATAAACACTTAACATAATAAAGTTATTGCGTTTTATTTTGGAGAACATTCTAATTTTTTAAAATAATTTACATAATTAATTAAAATAATTATATTAAATCAAGTATAGAAAAAAAAATACGACGCAGAACTTTTCTTGCTTGTTTTTGGTTTTATTTTGATAATGATTTTAAAATAAGATTTAAAAAAAAAAAAGCCACAGTCGAGAAAAAATACAAATTGAAGTCTTTTTAATTCAATTTTATTTCTTCTTTTGTTTTTAAGGATGTAAGCAACGAGCTGGCAAAGAATTCAGTTTCGACTCCATAATTAAATAACAAAACAATTTAATTGAATTACGAGACTTCTTTAGTCCTTTTTACTTATTTATATATATACGGTGAAATATCTCGGTATTGCTATCGATTCTAATCTTAAATGACTAAAAATAGTGGACTACTATTTTATAAATACAAACCCCTTAATACTATATTATTACAAAAACTATGAGAATAGCTTTTATAGTTATTTATACTTTATTTACAAATCTATAACATAATATGTATTATAATATACCTTTTAGTATGAGAATGAACTCTTATTTCCACAATAAGCTTGGCTTACGGAAACAACCATCATTATATATGTTTATATTTTATTTGAAGTAGTATAATATTGCAATATTATTAAATTAAACATTTTTTAAATGAAAATAAACAAATCTATTTATTTATCAATATTATTACAATACTAGCGAGGAAGGGGTAAATTATGTTTACATCTTTATTTATGAGTATTAACAATGGAAAATTGTTATTTTAATACGTTATAGAAGCCATAAGTATAATTATAATAGGTAACTTGTGTGTTATTCACCAAATACCTACTTGATTTTGTAGAAAATATCAAAATTAAGAGTTGTTCGGATGGTCTGGTGGACTAGCCTAGGCCGGTAGTTATCAACTCTTAGTTAATTAAGATATTTGTTTGATCTAAAATATATTTATGAATATATCACAAATCTACCAAAAGAGTTACGAGAAAGCATCATAATAGGAGGATATCAGCTGAAAACGTTATCTGATAAGATGAAATTAGGCTAAAACTTAATATGTAAAAATGCTCTATAAATCTAACATTAAATGTATCGAATGAAATCGTATAAAAGTAATGTCTATTCAAACTTGTAACAAAATTATCATTCTTAATAGATATTTTTATTTTATTATTATTATTATTTTTTTTTTTGGAATAACATCACCCTTTTTTTTATTTTTAAATATTATATTGAAAAAATATGTTTGTGAGCGGGTGGTGTAACATTTTTAGGCTGGACAAGTGAAACCAACAAGCGGTATATAAAGTGACACACGTCCAATAAGCCCTTTTGGATGTCTATGATATGTATAATATATTATATCGTGTACATGGTAGAGTTGTACACAACGGGGCAACGGATAGTAACAGTAAAGGCCTAATTTTGTTATATTGATTTATTAAAAAAAAAAATTGCTTTATTTTTGTTTTTACATATACAGGGCGATTCTTTTACCACTTAACACCTTTGTTATCTTACATTTTTTGAAACTTAAATGGTAACATATACATTTTATTAACTTTCTAAAATTAAGAATAAGTTGTCGAAATGTTGAATGGTCGATAACCAGTTTTGGATAGTTACTTTTGAACTTTAAAAGTAATTATCCAAAACTGGTTATCAACATTGACTGGTTTAGCAAATTATTGTATTTAAATATATACGTTGTCATTTAAGAATTAAACGTTGGTAAAAGTCTGGAAAAACAATAAAAAAGTTTTCAACTTGAATATTGTCCAATATTATAAGCCAACATAAACTAGTGTCTTGAAAAAAATAACAATTGCATTTATTTTTAAAATGAGTGTCTTAAGTTGAATTGATCACCCTGTACATATATTTATTTTAATTATGTGCGTTGGAATATTATGGTGCTATGTAATATATTACTAAATAATCCACCCCCGCTGTTTTTCCTTTTGCTATCTAGTTAAATCCACATTCAACAATATAAAGTTAGACATTGTTCGATTGAAAAAAAAATATAGACTATTTGAATAATGCAATTCAAGATAAAATTGAATAAAATATTGTCTTTTTATTTTAATGATTAATACGTTAAATAAAATCAAGCGCGTTAAAATATTCATAAAACTGAAGATTTAGTTAAAGATAATCTATTATAAATTTAAAAAAAAATGTTTTCCACATTTTGAAAAACGATGATTTTTTAATAGTGTACGTTTATAAATGATTGTCAAAACTATAAAAGCGAGTGTGAGATTTTCGAAATTTAAATAGTATATTATACGTATAATATTATTTGGACGGATAACGTGAAGAATCATTAAAAAATAATTCTATCGACGTTAATAAGTCAACGTTCAAAAATCAATACTTTCAACTTTAAATAAAATTATGGTTAACACTAAAACCGGGTTAGTTTCTATTTAAAAACCAACAATCAAGAACAATTTGAAAATAACGCATTATTTGAAATATTCTAAATAAAAATTAAAAAAAAAAAATAACAAATTACAACACAATAATTTGTGTTTAGTGTTTTACATAAATTTCTATATACTGTTTTGAATAATAGATTATCAGAAATAATTTATTCTTTTTAAATTCAAATAATATTTCAACATTTTTATTTGCCTGTTTTAAAATGACCTGATATTTTAAATTATTGTTTCCATTTTTTAGTTTTTCAGTCAAATAGAAAATAATTTTGAATTAAAATTAAAAATGTACTTCAATAATTTGTTATTTGACGTACAAGTGAAATAATCCAGACAAGGTATTTTGGCATGTATTGACTTAAAAAAAACTATACAAATATACCTATATTTTATATTTTATACTGCAAACATATTATGTAGTATTAGTATCGATGTTAAAAATACACAAATGTAATTGAAATATATCTTTTTGTTATACATACAGAACCGAGGACAAATATGTCTACTTTAATGTATTTTATACCCGGTTAACCTGTTGAACTTTGAAGACAATAAAAAAAAACTCCCCTTTGCAAAATAACGTTTAAGTTTTTTTTTTTAATGATTGATTTTATATATATATATATATATAGATTATGCTGGTTTAGTAAGAATTTTTAAAATTATAGTCATCTACAGGTTGAGCTGTTAAAATTTCTCATTTGGGACTAAACCTTATTCCCAAAACCAAATAATAGGGATTTTTTTATATCATATTAGTCAAGAAATAACATGGATTTTTACAACAGTTAAACAATAGAATGATGTAATACAGTAATTAAACATTTATGACAATACATTTAAATCTTAAAGAACAAAAAAAAAAAATTGGACTAGAAAATAAAAAAATAACTAGTAAGTTAGCAGTTCAAATCATCTGTATCTTATTATGCTTTAACGCTTGACTTTTTATTAAACAATTGATGCAAATTACATTGTAACAACGCGGATTTTATTTTAGTATTCTTTTAAACCTTATGAATCTTAAATTTTAATTTCCACTCAGAATTTTGTTGAAGTAAAAAAAAAACCTATTAGGCCCCGTTAGGTTGCCTTTAGCACTTAACACCACTTTTGGATGATATTAATTTGTATGGTAGTTTTGCATGAAATGTCACGAAAAATTGTTTGTTTACATTAATACTTATGAATGAACTCACTCAGTAAAAACTCACTATTCAAAATAGATAAGAAATACATATATTATCTTTTATCAGCTTTTGCTGTTATCAGTTGATTTTTTTATTAACTGATTTTCTTATCACCTATCCAGGAGTTATCGACTCTCCCTTATAAGACACGACAGACCCCCGTTAATTGAAACAAAAATCTACTTTTTGCAAAGTGTATAAAATTGTACTTATAAATGGAGATAATATAATTCCAAATATCAATAGAGAACGCAGTTGGGATCGAGAATCGACTAGTGAATTGTAAACTGATCTTATGAGAATGCCACTGATTACATTATCGTTGACCGCTACGTTTTGGTAAACTAATTAACGCAAAAGCTTCGTCAAAACCGGGCAAAATGTGTATAATTTGTACTCTCGTCTCCAGCAAAAGGGTTTCTATTGAAAACCCTTTCACCTGAAGAGACTTCTATCTAACTGAAGGATTGTCAGCTTTAATATTCTAAAGTGCTTTATCGTATTCCTCTCTAAGACTCTATTAGCGAGTTTAAATTAGTTGTAGGTGCTTATGCCGGTGGTGGCATTGTCATCAGACTCGTATAAATATACCGGGTGGTTTATTATTGCGGTATCGGCCACGGTTAGTTTTGCACTTCATTTTGTGCGTTAACGATTGGACCTGAGCACTTGAATTGGCGAAAGGGTCGAGTGAAATCGTCGTATTTCAACAAAGGATGATAATCACTGAACTCAATGTATGGAACACGAATACGGGTTAAAATAGTCCCAACCGACCTGGGACGCTGCCGTGTTGTTTGCCATTTCACGGAAAGTAAAAATTCTACGTTACTTTTCCATAATAAATATTAAAATGTTAGGTAGAGTGAAGTAACATGGTCATATATTTGATAAATCATAGGAAAACAATAAATAAGTATGCTAGAATCAACTTATATGATCAAAATTCATGCGAAAATGAGTTGGCAACACTGTCATAGGGGATTTTTGACGCTGAATCCGAATGTGTTATCAGATATTTTGAAAAATATGAGATAATATGATAATATATGAGTATATGTATCCTGAACGTATTGTTCAGAATCAATTCAATCAAAACTAACAATAGTTCCACTGGAGCATGTGAGTTTTGATACTGAACTATTTTTAACCCAAATAACTGCTTCGATAGTCAAACGCCATTGACAAAATTGTTGTTTTGTAACTTTTTTATCCATATTATTATATTAGACGAGTTTAGTCGTTTGAAAGTCATTTTATATGATAAATATTATCAGAACAATAATATTGAAAGCCAATATTGAGGGTAAATTAATTTTGTTGACGTTTATAATACATTTTAAAAGTTTCAATTGACTACATACCCTTGCGACCGACTCCGTTAGATATCCATCCGCCTTCTCTTTCCAAAGGACCTGCTTTCGACGTGAGCACTACTATGTATTGCATGTCACGCCATGTCAGTGCTGGATTGGCTTCTAACGCCAAAGCGCACAACCCTGCGGCTAAAGGAGCCGATGCCGAAGTGCCTGAAACAAGTAAAGGTTGTGGCTGATTAAGACCAAATTCACGGATAATCTCTCAACAAAGTTCAAAAAACTTTCGGCTCAGAAACCAATACAGTAATGCGATTTCTGTTTCTTATTTTTATTACTCCACTTCTTTTTCCAATTATCTGGAGGTAGGTCGATTTAGTTCCTATAGTCCTCAACCATCCACTCAACGCAGATTGTCACGTTTTCCACGCTGTCAAGAACCCTCAAGCATAGTTGGGAAAAATAGTAACTTAGATTAGATAATCTAATTTGTAGAACAATGACTTTTTAAACTAAAGTTTGCTAGTTATGCGTTGATTGAATTGAATTAAATTGTATCAAATCAATAATCGTACAAGGAAACCGACCCCATATATTTTGAAAATAAAACAAAACGGTTTAACACAAAATACACTCACCGGTATGTTCCACTGTGCAAATATGATCCGGACGGAGTTTGGCGTCCATGTCAACAGTGGCCACACTTTTGTCATGACCCGGCGTACCTGAACTGTAAGTGGTGGCTAAGGTGGACGAACATTCTTCTAGGTACCATGGTTTGTATCTGAAAACAAGAAGTAAGTCAAAAATCAACTCCCATCGACAGAAGAACACAATATTGAAATGGTAAGTGGATAAAGGTGTTGAGTGTCATTTTTTGAAAAGTGGTTTTCATTGTACGAATGAAAGTTACAACGGTTGAATGCGTGTTTAGCTTAATATTTCAACACAGTGGAGTCGGAGCATATTGAGCATAATAGTGGTATCACCGGTCTTATCAGGAATTATTGTAGTAACTTTCAAATGTTGACATTAAAATCAAAAATAAATGTGTAGCCTCTCATTTTGGATAAATATGAAAATGATCAAAAAATATATGGTATAATGTTAATATATATATATATATATACATTTTCTTTTTTAGTTAATTAAACATATAGTTATAATTAAGTCATATTTATAGTTTAAAAAATTTATAGCGCTCTGGGAAATACTAAAAAAAAAGTAATTTTATAATATTGTACAATGACATGAATGTTTTTAAAAAGTAAATTAAACTACATAGTTGTAATTATTTTCCGAGAAAATGAGTGTCTTACGTCACTGGTATATGCATCTGAAAAGTATTAAATCAAAAATTAAAAAACAATAATCGTATGCCAACAATTATATTTTATTTCTAGGATGGCAAACCATTATTAATTTTTATTACATAGAAATTAAATATAATTGTAGGCAACGAATAACCGCAACTTAAAAAAAAACCGATGATTGCAAATTACGTCTGTCGTTTATGGCGTTGTTCAATATACTCATGTAAAACACACACACCTTCGTCAAATATAGGTTCACCATAACCAGCGGCTGTAGGACACACTGCAAGACGTTCAAATGTCTATGGTCTGTATCTCCTAACCGTTCTAGACTATATCACAGCCAGCGGACAAACCCATACAAAAACGTTAATTAGCCAGTATCTCGTAATACGATTGTTAATCAATATTAGGGACTATATCTAATTATAATTAATGTTGGCTATATCTGTAATATAAAGTCTTAAAGACTAAGGACTATATCCAATTATGATCGCTTATAGTAGCCCCAGAATTTAGAAGTGAACCGAAAAGACGTTTAATGAATAAAAGTAAAGATAAATCTTTACTTAAGCAAAACAATGTAAACTCGAAAATATGCACACACAAAAGATGTAATATCCATAAAACAACGAACAAGGACGGTCTTATCGGACATCGTGTTTTGGGCGGTATTCAATAGTACTCATATCTACTACTAACACTAACTTTTGTAGTTACAATTTTTTGTAAATAATAAATTTAAATAAAGTTAAAAAAAAATAGAAAATTTCATATTTTATTTATGAGATTGTTTTAAAAAATGACTTACTAAAAAAATCTCTTAAGTTCACTTCGACAACAAGTGCGTAAAAAAATAAGTATAATAAACACAAAATATAAGTGAAATTACTTACAATGATTTTACGGTAGGAACCAAAATATATTTAGTGTTTATATTTAATATTTTCTAATAATCTTTAATAATTTTCAACTAAAAAACAAACTGTCTATCAATTTCTTATTCAGATTCATGTATTCTCATTTTATAAAATTGCATCATCTGGAAACAACAATAGGCACACTTCATTAAGGTGATTTATCCTGTTTCCGTTATCTGCCGTTGGCTGATAAAATACAGAAAACCTGATGATTATAAGACACGTTCATGACACGTTAATGACTTTCCTTTCAAGGAATGATTACATTTTATATGCTTTTATTTTTGGGTAAACTTTCCTTCCCCACCCCGTACAACAAGAGACTGTTTTGCAAGACCACGTTATCTAGTTCGTGTTTTATAGTCGGCTTTTATGGTTTTACACCGTGTAACACTGTTTGTCCGTAGCTTTAATACCATTAAAATAAGGACTCATGAGTCTTATTGGCTTTCCCTATATCTAATTTCTAACTCAAATGCGGCAGACATTTGTAATCGCGTTTTCTAATTCCTTCTAGTGCGGATGACGGATGAAAAATAAAACAAACTTAAAACCCAGTACAACCAAAACTTAATTTAGACCAACCCAGCACGTTATGGATTAAAATTGTATGTTTTTAAAGTCGCTATTATGATATCAGTTCTCATTTTCAGCCTATTGCTCATGGAATTAACCCTGAGGTTTTACCTTATACAATGGAAAAAAATTAGGACAAAAAAAAAAAAATAGTCGAACTTTCTTAAAATATTGTATATATATATATATAACGCACTCATTTGATAGACCGTATTCTTAATCCAAAGTTAAAAACCCTAAAAAACGTAATAAACGTACCATTTGTTGGGGTTGGAGGAATTTTATTTTTGGAGTTGACCAATCGCTAGTAAATCGGTCCGGAGAAAAAAGTTATCGCGGTTACAGGCATAAAAAAAAACACACGTCATTGTCAACTAAATACCTTCTTAGCTCCGCAACGAAGCTAATAATCGCCTCAAAACGATATTATCAACACGGTCGTATCGGCGGGCTTGCGAGAGTTTGTTGGCAACTGCAACGCCAATTGTTAAGACCGGCAAAACTTGGTAAGACCCGCGTTGGCTACTGAAAATGTTCAGTGTTCGTGTAAGTTTCGAGGAGTATTTCGGGAACAAGTAAAAGTCTCGGGCACGGAAACTATCATCCGACCGTTGACACTCGGAATGCGCAAAGTTTGTTAGCCCTTCGGTTGTCCCAACCCCGTTCTAAAGAGGCGTTGAAAATAAAAGACATGTTTTCCTCCGACAACACCACCACTTAGGATTGTCAGCGAGTCGGTCGTTTCGGTGGCCCTACATCTTCTTCTCATTCGGGTAAACACCAAAATAATTAATGTCTCCACTAGTGTGTTATCGCGCATAATTTAATTATTTGTAATTTCTGGTTCCGACATCCGTACTTTGATCTCGTTTACAGTTTTCACGTAGGACGCATTCGTACTATTTGGCCATTGCCAAGAGACAAAGGTGATAGTACATCAAACGATTTCCTTTATTCTGCAGAACCGACTGTTTGCCTTTTGGTCAAAAGTAAGGACGCCAGTGGTCATATTTAACGTTGCAATTTCAAATAAACAACGTATACTGAAACTGAAATTAATATTATAAATACTATAAAACAACTATCAGTATTCCGTCCATTTACTTTTGTTAGTTTGTACCATAACTGATATTATGGTTTCAAAAAAAATTGCACGAATTTTTCTCAGCTAAGATTAACTCATCTGTTGATTTTAAATGTCCATAAGTAAACGATTTTACTCATTAGTTATTATTTTATAAAATTATACAATATAATATGTTCAATTTTTTTTAAAGTTGAATAGTACTTATTTTTTTTATTTTTTTTGTTTATGTAATTCAATATACTTGTTATGCATTTCTTATTAATTTTCTATTAATAACTATACTACGAACTCAACATTTTTATCATTAAAATCATTTCCTGTATTTGTGATAGTTCACCAGTGATTTTTTGTAAGTTCTATCATAGTTGAAGCTAGTCGAATGGGTCGAAAAACCCTAATGGCATATTTTAATTTAAACTGAAAAATAAAATAGAATGAAAATTAAATTTGTTGAGACTGTACAAAACAAATAAGACGCTAGGTACATCTAGCAAGTAAATTATTTTCTTCGGTATCGTTGTTGGTATACTAACAATGACAACACAAAACCTTCTCAAAAATGTTATTAACTCTGATTTCCAGAGGTAAAAATAATAAAACCCGAAGAATTTATTTTAATTGATGCTGATGCGAGAAAGTATGATCTCCAGGAATATTCTTCAGCCAACACCACTTCTACAACATGATACCTACTAATACCGCATTGTAATTTGTTTAAAAACATTCGTGGAAAATGTTTTTATAAATACAAGATAATCGGCAGAGCCCCTCCGGGACATAAAACTATTTTTAGTGGGAATCACAATACCCTTGAGGTAAGCCTCCACCAGTGATGGTTTACTTCATACATTATTGAATAGTATTAATATAATAGTATATTAATTTGTATATTTTACATACAATTATTATTATTACTAAAAAATGATAAAAGTTAAGAAAAATTCACAAATCAATTATTTTTTAAATATAAATTCTTCTCTACTAAAGGCCTTGCCTTGTCGTTGCAAATCTGGTTCTCCTCATTGTTATGTTTAACCTTCATTGCTTGTTTGGGAAAATTAATGCAGTGGTTTCCCGTTGCCTTTTGCATAAAAATTTAATTTATGTTGGATAATTATTTAAATACAATTTCAAAGAAATATTTATTTAACTAGTTCAAATTTAAGTTTTGTATATTTTATACTACAAATGGATACTACTTAGTAATTCAAAAAACAGATTTACTCAAATAATAAATTAGTTAAACTATTCTCATTGAAAAATTATTTGACATTAAATAAAATATTATTTCATTCGAATAAATAAATTTCAAATAATTCTTAATTTGAAATTTATTTATTTTAATTTGTAAATTATTGTTTGTTATTTAAATGAAAATTTCTCAGGTTTAGTTGTGAACCAATGAGTTATGATTTATAAAAATTGTGTTTTCTTAATAAAATACGAAATAAATACTAAACACAAAATAAATTCCTATAAAACGGCAAAGCTAATATTTCGACTGTATGTTGAAACTTGAAATATAAAAAAAAAAACCATTAGCGAATACGGTATAAAGTAGCGATTGAAGTTTGTCGATAAAAATTATTTAATATATTTTCTGTTTATTCACAAGTTCTCTCTGTCTCTCTTTCTTATTATTTCTCTCTATTTCTCTCTCTCTCTATAGCTAACTAACAATTTTATCCTGTTTACAATATGAAAAACCAAAGTTCTATTTTCTTTAAAAAAAAAAATAAAAAGGAAAATAATAAAAAAAAACATACTTAAACAAACCGTACGCGTTTCTCGAGACGAGTATCGTTTTTGGGGGTCGCTATGATTTGAAATGATATATGTATAAAAACAAAACTGAGAAAACACGAATAGCTATTGCTATGACTAAACAGCAAAACGGTTTTTAAGCAATCTAAAACCCGCTGACGTGTAACAAGATAAATGAAATAGCAGCAGCAGCAGCTTGCCTGTGTCACACGTTTTCTGTGTGTGGTTTTCATACAATCTCGATGCTTGGGTAACGTTTACGAGACTTGACGATTTGCACGCATACAAAATCCAACAGGATACCCGTCAAGTCATATTAAACCTACCTATACTAGCTCCTGTCTCTTTTGCTATTTGTCTATCGATTCCGAGAATTCACGAGACACAGCCGTATTTCACTGTTACCAACTCGGCATACCGATTATTTTCCATCATTTGACTATGAGACTATTGAGAAATAATTGTTGTTGTCCTTCATACGATTTGTATGAAGAACAACATCGCCGTACAGTAGTTGCTTTTTTAAGTTTATACTTTAAAAAAAATTTCGATTTTTTAACTTAAAGAAAAGACAAAAATGTATATTATATTCAGCTAATATTCTGTCTTTTATCGATCATTTCTTATTAGCCAATTTTCGTATCAAAAATTTCTTATCAGATATCAACCAGTCGTTATCAATTTTCCCTAATTACCACCCCCTCGTAAAATTTCCACTCCTACTAGATATATATATTAATAGAAAATTAGACCGAAGTAATTTCTAAACAATTTTTTTTATTTTTTCAACCTAGTCTATACTTTGTTTATATTCGAATAAGATATAATTCAACTAAAAATAAAATTAAAATAAAAAAACCACATGTTGGGTAAATATGTCATTATATTATTTTAACTAATCAAATAACTTTTATCGTTTATTTAAACAATATTTTTTTTTGTTTTTTAAAAATGTATTAGGATAAATTGTTATTCAAATACTAAAAATGATATGCCTATAAATACACCCTGAATGTTATCTATAAAAAAATAAAAATAGGTAATTTTATTGTGGTATAGTGTTAGTTACTTATAAAAAATGTCATTAAAATTTTAAATATATGAGTAAAATGTTTTAAAATTATGGAAGCTATAAATATCATATTATATCATATATTATAATTATATATTAAATCTCAGAACGAACAAAATAAAAAATAAATATTCGAAGTTTTGGATTTTTTGACAGGGAATGAAAAAATAATAACTTTTAATCTTAATTACTTATTTTGATCTTGAAAAAAAAAATGCATAATACATCAACCTCCGAGCCCAATTAATAATATTTTATTATTTCTTAATTAATTTGCAAGCCAGTTTTGTCCTTACACCCAAACCTGTCCTAATTAAATTATTAAATCTAGTTTGTTTTTAAAGAGAAAATATAATTACTATTGCCTAATCGTTACTTAACCTACCATAAAATTTTACCACTAAAAAAAATAATTGCTGTTTTAACAAAATAAACTCATAAATATTCCTAACTATAGTTTATGACATTAAATTTACCAAGAAATACAATAATACCATTCTTAACTCGTTCACTTAACATATAAATTACTTTGATTCAGTTTCTATTTAAATGTTTAGATTGAATTGAAAAAAAAAAGTTATTATATTATGTTACTTATGATAATAACACTTAAGAATATTAATAAACAATAACCAAGAAATTCGCAGAACATATTTCTGTTTTATTAAATTGTATATTCCACGAACGAAAAGTAATTTTACTATAAGCATAATTTATATTATAGACTAAACGTTTCCACTACATTTCAAACTACGCTTTTAGTTTACATTATTAGAACCTTTTCAATGTTTTTTTAGTAGCCGTCGAATTCCGAGTTTGAAATAGTTGAACAATAAAAAATGGCTCTATTCAAAAAACATGTTTTAAATTAATATACTCGGGATTTCAATATTGCTGGAATTTTTTTTTTTGCCCGACTGTTATTTTTGTATAAAAATACATTTTTTCGGCGATTTGAACACGGCGAGTTAATATATTAAAACAAAAATGTTTATCAGACAAAAGAAGAATGTATTTTTGGCTTATTAACAATATATTTAAAAAACTAGTAAAGTGGGGTCGGGCATAGTGGGGACGGGGATCACAGGTCTACAGGAATTATTATAAATGAAAGTAATAAAATCACTTTTAAATAAACGCTTCGATGCGTATCTGTGGATGGTAAAAAAACAAAAATCGATAAAACTAGTAACAGCAAAAGCTATAATGTACTTAAAATTGTATTTTGAGTATGAGGGATGATGCGATTAGGGTTAATCAACTGTCGGTGATAATTTGTTGCCGCTGTTGACTGTATATCTTAATTTACAACATAATTATGCAAATACTTGTTGACTGTTGATTTATTCAGCAACAGGAACATAGAAGTTTACAACTATCACAGAGTAATTTTCCCTTGTTTTTTAGTAAATAAATATGCTGATTTCACTTATTTTTTAAAAATACACCTGAGATATATAACTAGTTCACCTATAAAATATGTATTTTAATATAATTTCAACGCATTGCCGGGGAGTGAGTGGTACCTTCCTATCGGTGATTGGTAATATTTATTGGTCATTTTTATTTTTCGGCATTTTCATAATGATATGTTAGTAAAATCAATCATATAAAAAACATATTGTACTGCCACTTACCCTCCTTGTGTAGCGCTGGATATTGATAATGTAAAAATGCTGTTCGTGTATCCGTCGCAATTACACGAGTCCGTGTGCCGACCTCCATTACCCGAAGCCCAAACGAAAATTGATCCTTTTCCATGACGACCCTATTAAATAAATAAAAATGTAAAAAAAAAAAAATAAACTTAATTACGACCTATTACATTAGAGTTATATAATATAAAAACTACAGACACATTATTATTATGGTACGTTGGCTAGCACTTTTCTTGTTACGATTTTGTATACTAAATACTTCAAATATTTTCTTTTGTCGTTGAGTAGATTAATATTAAGATTATAAAATAACATAATTTAGTTATATACACCTATACATTTATTTTGCCTAACTTTTTTGTCTAGTTAATTTTTATTTTTTTGGATGTATATTGTACATTCGTTTTGAAAACTGTTTTTAATTAAAGTTTACAACTTTCATTTGCGCGCCATTGGAATATGTTACACGAGGTTCTCTTACCAGTGTTAAGCGGCGTTATCATAACTATATTGGATGATAACACCGACATCTGTGATGATAACGACTAGAACCTATGGTTACTACAACGGTAACCCTCCTGTTACCGGAAATGTAAGTAAAACAAATCTCTTTGGCGCGTAAACCAAAACGTTTCAAATAATAAACTCGCATATCCTTTCAACATTTTTTTATTATTATTTTCCTTTTATTAGGGCATCTTCAACTAAAAAGAATAAACTAAATATGTTTGATAACTTTCTCATGACCCTATTAGTTAAAGACGCGATACAGCAAATTCTAAGGCGGTTCTAAGTACTTGGGATCCATACGAACCAAGATTCCTTTTTTCTAACAATGTGAACACAATGACAAATTTGTAATTACATTTTCTCAAGAAACTAACTATGCATATTTTAGACCATCATTGTTCTATATTCGATACAAGCTAAACGTATTTGAATTTGATTTTATAGATGATTCATTAAGTCCGTTATATGATTTTATTATCCATCATGTTAGCGCAGCATCTAATGTATGACTGATACATCAAGCATTTCTATAAAGGATGACAATAGTAAATATAAATGAGTTATGTATAATGTATATGGTACGCTTTATAATTAAATGTTTGATAAAAAATGTATGAACGAAAATTAAAGAAAATAATAGGTAATATAAACTCTAAAATCATTTTGGTAATTCCAATACCTATTTTAATTGATTTAGAATAAAAAAATAGCTTAACCGTTATTGATGATGGATTTATCAATATATTGAAAAGACACTTCTGTGAAAATGTTTATTGCGTTAAATCAATATTATACTCTTTAAATTAAACGTATTAATAATTTAAAGAAATTTTTTTTTTAATTTGTGCTAGTAAATTTAAAATATTACAATTCATGTATAAATACACATTTCTCGGTTACTTGAAAAGTTAACTTCGCATTAAAAGCAAAGATAAACTACTCTCAAAACATATGTATGTTTCATTGATTCTCGATTAATGAGGGTGCAGGGGTTTAGAAATTGTGGAAAAATCGAAATAAGACATGATTAATTGCATAAAAATAACCACTAACAGGCCTTTGCACAATATGTGTTTTAGGCGGCAGTCAGTGAAGAACTAGCGCCAGATAATTCTATAAATACACCAGTCTCTTAGGATTTTACAAAACCGAACACTACCAAATTACGAAAATCAATACAAAATATGTTGAACAAATTAAAATAGCTTACAAATTGGATTGAAAACATTTAAGAACTATTTGTGTTTCTTCTTTTCCGTTTTACCGTCTAACCAATTTAACAGCAGTTAATCTAATACATACAAAAGTCATCTTATTAGTTCCAAAAAAATGTAAATTCCCAGTTTGTCGCATTAAAACAAGTCTAGCGTTAAACAATTATTTTATTTGCATCACAACAGGGAATACATTAATATTAATCAACAGAAATACAATTTTTTTTTTAACAACATAATATGTGAACATATGCGAAGTTATATTTCTGAGAAATAACGGTATATTAGTATCGATACAAATTATAGTCGTTAAGCATGTTGGAGCACATTTTGGTTGATTTTCTTTTACCGAGGAAGTCACGTTCGTGTGTATAAATGTAATTAACAACTTAAGGTATTCGCATAGAACTTTGGCAACAACATTATAAACACAGAAATAATAGTTTATACTATACTTGCATAATACAAGGACCGGTTAGGCTATACGAGTATTTTTAGGTATTTTTTAATTATGTTTTCAGAAAGTGTAATATGAATAAATACAGCGGTGAAAAGGGTACAGAGGAGAGGGAGAGGGAATTGAAAAGTGTGGTGAAATTACGACAAACTAAAGTGCAAAAAATACAACAAGCAAATTTAGTCGGGCTATAAGTGCCAAAAAAAAGAAATTATTCAATTAAAATTTATTGATTATATAACATATTACGAGCACAAATTAACGAGCAAACCATTAGGTAATTTCACTATGAAATAAATAAAACGAAAAATCATAAACGCATACGTATAATTAATTAAACCATCAATTGAGTATAAATCTACGAAACAGCGAAAATGCAATAATTTACCGTCGAGTAAATATATTTCAATTTCTTTTCCAAAACCTAACCGGTCGTTTGATGGACAAAACTTAAAAAGTAAACTTGTAAATGAATTTAACACGTTTTTTATTTGTGCTAACACTTAACGATTAGGTATTAATAACATTGAACAATTTCAATATTTAACAATCACTGGTGAAAAATCTGTGAGAAAATTAAATAGACAATCAAAGTAGACATATTCAACGTGTTAAAAACTCAAAAAAAAAAATAAACTTAATTTTTATAAATAAACACTAAATATTATTACAAAAACATAATGCATATATCGATTTGAGCACTAACGAGTAACAAAAGGATTTGCCCTTAATATCCTCGAATTAACCAGTACAACTATTTTTAATTTGTCATAGCTTAAACACTGGACTATACAAATTGTTATTAATTATGCTACTTTATAGTAAAGATATAAAATCTACTTGAACCTTAAACCATGAAAATTATACACTTCTTGCTACTTTAAACATATTTTTTATAATATTTAATAATTCTTTGACTAAGCTTTTAAAATTTAAACTTTTATTGAATTAAATTACCGATTACACCAAATAAAACGGTATGAAAAATTGTTTTGTGGGGCGTAAAATTAATATTTGAATTAATTTTTTCCCCTCATAAAAAAACACTTACACATAACACAACTCATTGTTAAAAATGAACACGAACTAATTCGAGGGACATGTTGCATCCTATGACACTTTATTTTCGCCTATGATATTTGTCTTAAAATAGTTTTTTAATTGTTCAAACATTATTCTGAAACTATCATGTTTAAATATTGCCTATTTTAATCCTTCAACAAATACCTACTATATTATTATAATAACAATCTTAATTTTGTTTTTCTTAACGTTATATTATAATACAGTAGATCACGTCATGTTTTATAGTTTAATATCTTTTTTATGATAATTTGAAAATGATGAGAGAGGAATACCGTAGTTTATATAATAATAGTTGGATATTATGAAAATAAACTCGGAATTCAAAATTCTCCAACTATTTAACTTGCATGCACGCAACCGAGGAAATATATTTGAAAAACTTACAACAGAATGTAGGTACCTAGTAATAATAATTGCGGATGTTATTTCAGCTCTGGGTAATTTGTGTATGAAAAATACAATTCTATATGAGTTCTAACTGAAATTAAAAAAAACCTATATAATAATAATGGGAGGTATGAAACGAAAGGGTGAGCAAGTTTAATAGGTATTAAACTTTTTGTGTTATAAGGCAGGTAATTTATTTTAACGAGATTTCTTTAATTAACAGCTTATAATTGATAATCGAATCAGAGGCAATCAGTAGGTACATTATACAATATACGTTTTAAATCCAAACAATTCCGCGGGAAAGTCTATAGATTGGGTTAATAATGATAATCCACTGTGTATGACTTTGGAAGTCGTTGTTGTGCGGTTAACTTACACTTTATAAAAAAAATCTTTCCAAAAATAAAAGAGGCAGATTGTAAGAAAAAAGTTATGAACCACCTAACACACATTACACAATTTGACCATCTAATTTTCCAGTGAATTTCTTTACGTTATTGGCCTAATGGGTAATTTATTTTTAAATCGGCATTAGGAAAGGACGATTTATAAACCAATAAGATAAATAAAAAGATGAGCAGTGTTTAAAATTTTCATAACGATTTACCTTAATAATTTATAGTTGGTTATAAACTTCAAACTACAATAGTTTAGAGTCAATAAATAAATAAATAAATAAATTACATGCTTGATGTAACAAGTTGCAGATAACTAATTACATTTTGGTTATAGTCTTATTGGGTTTTTTGAGACATAATCCTCAAGTACACATCTATCTTTTTAAAGATAAATCTAGACTATTTTTCAAGCAGCGCCTAAGAATTGAAAATAATCCAAAAATGTTGCGGAAACTCTTTTAAGGAAATGTTTCTTTTTTTTTTACTAATTTTTTACTAGTAATTTAATTACGAAATTTATAATTAATAGTTAAATACTTTTAGTATTTAATTTAAAATAGTTTTAATAAGCCGCACTCACTCTTGAGTAGATGCAACAGTTTATTTGATGGTTATAAGGAGAAATGGATAATTTTTAGATAACTGATAAAAGAGTCAGCTAATAAAAGACAAAAATTCAGCTGATCACCTGTTCCTGGTACTCAATGAGTCCCCAATCGTGTAAATTGTGAAGGATCAAAGGCACTTTGCGGTATCATGTCCATGATCAATGCCTTTTCTTCAAGTGAAAATTGGTAGTTATGTTGTTAAAATCTTATTTCTGGATTTTAAAATATAGTTTTTCTACGGTTTGAGCATTATGGCAATAGAGATCTCGAATTCGAATAGTATGAACGCGTACTTACCGAAGTCACACCGTAAATGAATGCTCTCCTAGCTAATGGTCCGGGTCCATCGACGGTTTTTCCATCATCTTCTGGACCCCAGGATGCGCTGTATATGTCTATATGATTAATGTTCAGACCCAAAGCACGGGCTTCAACCGCGTCGTTTACGGTTCCGTCCAACATCCTCACCCCTGCAACACACAACATTACCATGGGTTTTTTTAAAAAAATACAATTCAGTAATCTCAAATTTTCTTTTCGTGGTTCACAAAATATTCCATTGATAAAGTGAGTACAGTCGTTGCCACTGCCAGATAAGTTGGCACGGCGGCTTTTATCAGTAAGTATCTTAAACTAGTTTTTTTGCTCGATCATCGATTAATGAAATCTGTTCAACAATAATCGCGTTATCGTGTCGCCACCGTGTCAAGTTCTCAGTTAACGACTTTACCCAATATCTTCAATTACACTTAAACGAGATTTCGATAAAAACGACATGCGAAGTACATATCTAATTCGACTATAACCATGCGTATTGCCCGAAAGCAATTCGAATCGAATCGGTCAATCACCAAGGTTCGTTATACACACATTAATGGCAATTTGATTCAACACAACGAATCTTCTGGGCAAGACACATCGAATTACAACAACACAATACGCTCATTTAGAAACGTTTCAGAATCGTTTAAAATTATTTTCCTAGCGGGTTCATCCAACGATTCGGGGTCAACCTCCACTTATATAACGGTCGACCACAATCTCCTCTTTCCACACATCTGCTATGCTCGTATCATTCCGAATTACCACTAACCCTTTACCTCTGTTAATGATTAATTATCTTTTATCATTACGATGCGCCTATACACCATCACGATATTTCCTACAATCCAAGCCATCGCCATTTTCAAAAGGGGTAAGACCAAGATAAAAATCCAATAAGAACGGACGTGTTTTAAAGGATTTTTAGCATGATAACGTTTTATTAACAAATTATTAACATGATTGATGTTAGTTGATAATATATGGTCTATTGATAAGGAAAAATCGACTGATAAGATTATGATATTGATTAGAGCGACGATTGTGATATGATATGGTAATCAACCATGATTAATGGTATGGTAATCAGCTAATAAGAGACAGAAAATCGGCTGATCATAAAAAATGTTCATGTGATCTAATGTCTTTCTTTCAAGGAAAAGATTAAATGTTTTACTTAATTTTAAATCAACCGATTAAAAACTACTTTTAATTATTAAAAAATTACTGACCACCAATACTGGCATTGTAAGCCACACCGATACCGCAATACTGGTTGAATGCAATGGCCGCCACTTCGCCGGCACATCTAGTCCCGTGCTTGTTATCTCCATTGTCTCTGGGCATAGGATCGTCGTCATTGTCATTTATATCTGTGCTAGCACTCGGGTCCTGTGTACAAAAAAATAAACACTTAGTATAAAATTATGAAAAATTGTCATTATTATAGGTATAGTGATGATCGCAGATGAATTTGACAGAATCAAACGATAGCTTTTTTCCTGTGGGACGATTTTGTTATTATTATTATGTTTTTTTTTTAATTATTAGTTCCGGTTTTTTTAGCGAGTTTTGAAAATATCAAATATGATATTTTAGTTATTAGTTCCGGTTTCTCAATTTTGATAAAAAAAAAACTGACATCGATACCGGTTTTTAAATTTAAAAAAATGTACTAACTGTTACAATTTCTGGTCAAAATAACCTAACAACACCTTTAAAAACATTTGTAGAGTTTCTAATATGTATTTATTTATTCCCGTATAATTTTAGTAACTTTATTGAGTTATGTTACATATATAATACAATATTTTAGTCGGGACGAAAAGGTTTTTTTTTAAGAAAACCGTCATAATATAAAAATTTATATTCAATACTAGTATACATTGAAATTTATATTTAAGGGAAATGAATTTAACATATCCCTCGCTTCTTTTTTGAATGATTCTGAATAAGTGAAAATAAATAATGAAAGATACATGTGCGCATTCACTATATTGCACTTATACAAAACGAGCAAAGATCATCATATAAAAGCGACATGTGCCAAGCCTTAAAAGCATATTTTTCACTGATCATGAGGAAACGCGTCTAACATAAATATAATGACACGACACGAGACGTTGTGCAATTGTATTTCAATACTTGGGATTTATTCCCAAGAGCCAGAGGGGAAAAATACAGCAAAAGTTTGTTTATGTCGGCTTATACTTTGCAATACACATGTATAAACGTTGTAAAGCACTACAACGAGCGTGGATACAAAATTAATAAAGACATACTATATTATATATACCATTAACGAAGAAGCCTTTTCTGGGAAATTATATTAAATTGCATTGTTGTTACATCAGAGGTATATTATTGTGAATTGTCTTTGCGTTTGAGTTATTATGTTAATGATTATTGCGATAGCTTAAAATAAAAATGTTTACATACACACATTATTAATACACAGTTTAAAGCCCTAAAACAAAACGTTCATATTTTTTTTAGTTTAAGACAATTAAATTATTCCAGCTGATGTTATTCGGAAAACTCAGACAGTTTAAGTCTAATCATAAGACACCGTTTCTGGTAAGGGTTGTTGGACAAAGGTCTCTGTTATTAAGCCGTTCAACCGACTAATGCCGAACTTGACAAAAGTTCACGATTTCGGTCTGACCAGAGTTTACTTACATACAGCACAAGGTGGGGGTTTTCGGTCCTTTGTAAACCAAAGCATGTTAGATGAGGAAATTTAGGGTTTAGAATAATAATGCGTTATCATCGAATAATAAAACTAGGACATTATAGTAAGCCTTTAAACCATCCCAGGACAAATCGACCATCTGTCCAATTAACAGCTCTCAAGTCCTAAAATTGCGCCTAAAACTAAACAACTTCCCTTCCTTGTAGGGGCAGAGGGTTAAATAAAATAAAATAGGGCTTGATGAGGTTTTTGGATTATGTCATGTCCCATTAAAATTTAAATTCGATTTAAATATATATTTTTTAAATTACTGATTTTCATACAATGCTAATAAAATGCAATCTCTATTAGTTTTCATCGAGATTTAAAATACTCTTTTACAATAAAAATGTTTTATTTATTTTTAACTTATCTTTGGAGCTCCGAAATGCGTCGCCTCCTCTAAACCTTAACCAATCTCATTCCCTCCACACCAAACTACCCTTATTCATCTTAATCACCATCATACTCACCCTTTTCACATTTTCACCACCCCATTTCCACCTTTTATCAGTTATGCAGAGATTATCCTAACTCCACCCAATCCATATCAACGTTATGTAATTGAACATAATATACCTAATTTCAAGCTTGTATGCACGAAGTTGCATTAAAAATTCACATTTTATTAGTTTTTAGTGATTTGTGGAGGTTTCCACAACAACAACAAATGTTGCCAGAGATTTTTTTTTTATTTTATAGACCGTACTCATAAAATTCTAAAAATGCGTCTAAAAAAAACTTCCATTCTCTTGGGAAGGAGTGGTTTTACATAATTTTGGATTTGAGGCGATTTGCGAGTAGAAAAGCTTGTTTAATAAATGTTGCAAAAATGTATCGAGTCAAAGTTAAAGGTTGAAAACCGGTGATAACTTTTTGGGGTTGAAAAAGATGGCTTTTTTACTTTCAACGTATCAATTACCAATCATAAACGATTTTGGATCGATAAAAGTGTTAAGTTATGGGTTTTATTCTCTCAATTGATAAAATATCGATATGACTTTAGTACTTGTAACTTACTAACCAAAAATGTCATGGAATATCATACCTAATAATATAGATAATTTTAATAACGATTAACCACATCGTTTGAAGATCCCACACGCAAGTATAAAAAATAAACTATTATAAGTTTAAACATTTTTAAAAGAGTTCCGACTACACATTATATTGTATTCATTTCTCAATGCTTGAAAATTAATTTTTATAATTAAAATAATCAGGTTGTGAAGCTTTGTATACTTTTTATAGACTTATTTGACACAAGTTTTATTTTTGCTTTAGAAAAGTTTTTTATGAACTTCTTAACGTATGATTCAATGGTATCAAAGACTGTATTTTAAGTCAAACGGGAGCGAATGCCCATTCACGCGTTTACTATATAGGTTTAGTAGAGGTTCAAAAGAAAACTATCCAATCCAATCTAGTGCAAACACGACTTATTCTACGATTTTTTTTTTAGTTAGTAAATTGATTTTTCCGTCGTTTCCTTTTCTTTATAAACTAGGAGGCCAGTCACTAATACGACGCCGTGGAACAATGTGAGAGATCAAGTAAACAAAGTATTTTTCTCCGTCAGAGCCGACTCCCATATAAAGATCCAAAATGGACTTTTTAAGGATAACAGAAAAATTTCCTATTATCCATATTAAAGACATAATTATTTTAGTCCGGTCTTCGGTGCCGGCAACGGATAACGCAATTGTTTCACTTCAAAGAAAAACTTTTAAAAAATGTAATGAAAATAGACAATATTAAAATACACAAATAAAAAAGAATGTTGGGATCCTATTAAACTTGGAGTTGGACGTTATTCGATTCCGATTGAAGAAATAATAGAGTATTTGAATAATTGTAAGGTATATTTTACATAACTACTACTCTAGCACTATATTATTTTAATTGTTGACGGGAATTCAAATAATTCCTTTCAAAACGTAAAAAAAGCACCAAAATTTCTAAAAAAATAATCGTACAAATAGTGTAGTTACATTAAAATAATATTTCTGTAAATCAAGCTATATGTAATAGAAAAAAAAATACAAACTCATCAATTTCCGAGCTTTAAAGGTTTACAATAGGGCGTTTTGGGATGTACCTTTTAGAATTTTTTATTTATCTATTTGCGATCCTTAGATGACGGTTAGTTTTTGAAGGGTCCATAAGGGGATCAAACATAATGCCACCACTTTTTGTGTACAATGCGTACCGAAAATATAGATCACGTTTAGTGCAAAAAAATACAATATTAACACAATAAAATACCCATGAAAAATATAATGTAAAAACATTTTATAAATATATTATTTCCATCCCGTTGCTAATGTGGTTTATAAATAAAGTGAAGCCACATTGCACACAATACAATGCAAAATAACCGATATGAAGTCTAAATAAAGAATGCACGCGGATTTATATACTTGTTTTTCCATAAATTCTTGTGTTTGAAATAAACCGCGCGTTATTTAAATGGAAACTAATTGTTTTTCAGTCATTTTAAAATGTATTCAAAAAATGTACACAACATTTTCCAAATTACATTGAACCTAAGTTATAATTAAAAAAATATTTTACAGTATTTCAGATACTGCATCAGTTTTATACAGAAAATTAAAACGCAAATCTTACCCAAATATTAGTATGCATCTAGATTATTAATTTTATTTTATTCTCTATCTGACTTTCTAAAACATTAGCATAACCATTTTTTTCACAAACAAATATTACCATAAATTAATTTTCAATTAAGAATTAATCGTGAGTTTCCGCATTTAGATTCTTATATATTTTTAATAAACAAAAAACATCGATATTACTGAAACTGGAAAAAGCTCTTTTATAAAAATATGCGGATATTCAGAAAATTATGATTCTATGCAATAAGTTAAAAAGTTGTACATCAAAACTTTATAAAAATAAAATTACGAATTTGTGGTGTCCAAGTTTAAGAGTTTACTAGCAAACTACTGATTATTGATGTACCATGTAAGTAGACAAATTAGCTGATAAGAACTAAGCCAGTTATCTTGGTGGCTGCCATATTGGAAAAAATGGCAACGCTTTTCCGAGTTACCGGAATTGGCTGTAAGATCGTGCTATCGATCACAGTTTTTATAAATTTTTTTATCTCTTATCAATTTGTCTTTTTTTATCACAAACATTTATATCAAATGATTTCTCCTCTTTTTGTTAATCGTAACGATTTTCCGTGTCGGCTTTTTTTTTAATATTATGCCTTATGCCGTAGAAATGAAATTTCCTATGGTAAATGTAAAATAATCGTATATGTTATACACGGTAAAAAATAATACAGTTATGCAAATAAAATTGTTATAAAAGCGAACGAACGAGTCGTTGCCGGTAATAACGTTGTCGCGGTATCAATAGGTTTAACCATTTAACTGGAAAATGAATGCAAAAATAATTTGTTAAAATCACATAAAAAAAAAAAACAAATCTAACACGCCGTCGCCGCATTTAGAAATAAACGTTATCGGCTGTCGTGACTATATAGTTACATATATTTTATATATGTATGTGTATAAATGTTAGGTATATCGTTTCGCCATTTTATTCCCCAGCCACTTATGGCTTACCTACGTCGGAAAACGTTCACAACTACTATATTGAGTCAACACATTCATGACACGGTGTGTTTGAGCATAACGGCTAGCTGTACGGATGTTTGGGGTGGATAGAGAGAAGAAAAAAAAAACGGGGAAAATATACACACGAGGGTTACAAATAGTATTTTCTTTACCCGAGTGGTCCCCAGCCGCGTAAGCGGTATATACATTTTTTTTTACACACCAGTCCCCAGCTATCGCGTAAAAAGCAGCAACAAACTGCACACACGGCACTTTTGTCGGGCAAATGAGTGTTTATGTATTTGTATACGCATACTTTAGTGTGAGTGTGCATATAAATAGGTGCACTGAATGGTTGTTTCGAATTTCACATACAGCCGCCGACACATTTTGTTTATCTTGTTTGGCAACTCACGTTCGCACCCCCACAACCCGCGTATCACACCACAAGATGAAATACCACCCCTTAAACAGTGTCTCGTACAATGTCCGATGTTTAACCCATTCTATAGAAATCAATTTTTTTCAAAACTTTTTAACACAAACTGTATTTTGTCAAATCATCTATTGTTTTCATTATCTCATAAAAAAAATCATGTTTTTCGGGCCATACGTCGTACAACAACAGAATTTATATTATGCTAACCTAATAATTTAAATGGCACGTAGCCGCAGGGAATGTAGTTTGATTTTCACCCTGTGCCATTAACTAAACCGTACCGGTCGAATTTTGTATTGCAAATTAGCATTCGGCATTACATAACAATAATAATAATTTAGTAAATATTCAATATGATATCACTAAAAAATGGGTCAAAAGATTGTACTCACATAATTGTGCGCTAAATCGGGATGGTTAGTTTGTATACCGTCGTCGAGTATAGAGACGACAACGTTTTTACCAGTGTATCCTTTTTGCCAGGCCGGTCCCATGTTCATGTCAAACCCGTCAAGAGCGCCTCCGTTCTGTGAAACAAAGCAAAAAAATTATTACCATAACAAGGAAAAAGGCAATTTCGTGTCAGATTTATAACAAACAGCTAATGTTCATAGAAAAAATCAGAAACCTCTGGAAATGACACGAAGTAAAATAAAGTACAACTTACAAATTAGATAAAACCAGAGAGTATACCCCCTATTAAACACAGGGTAATAATATATAAAGATAACCTAATATTTATATTAATAAAGTAATAACTATATATGAGAACTAATATATCGCTTGTATGCGATTATGAAGTGAACTGGACTAAAACCAGTAAGACCACATAAGAGAAAAACGTCTTCATTGTTAAGCGGTCAGTAATTGATATGATAAAATAAGTTTTTACTTCTTATCTTAAAATATAATTGGTTTTTTTTTTTAAATATAATCATTGATACCGTATAACCATGATACATTGAACGGTATTTTTTCTTCTTCTAACATGGCTGTTTAAATAGGAAGCCTCGTTAAAATGAAAAACTCAGTTGTGTAAATAATTAATTATATAAAACAGAATTTAAAATGTTCGATTTCCTTAAAAGATATTTCAATTAGTATTTTTGTTCTATACAAGACAGATTGAACGTGTTATACCTCAACATTCATTTAAGGTTTTTTCAAAAATATACCTCGATAATAATTTAAAATTAATAAGTGTAAAATAATAGTAATTGGATTGGATTTAAAAACTAAAAAAATTGAGGTTATTTAGAGGGCATTCTCTATATTTCATGAAAAAAATCTACCTTTTATTGTTAAAAAAAAAAAAAACTATATTCATTACGTTCTATCGAAAAAATGTCATTCCGTGTGAAATCGACAAAACGATTCACACTAAGGTGAACATATTTTATTATAAACACAGAAAATAATAATATTTTAGCGACATTTTGGCGCTCTAAGTACATTTTTGTACTAGACATAATAATTTAAAACGTGTACTTATATGTGAGGATTTTAAACACACACGGTGAGCAAGTGAACATATCATTTTTAGCGTTTTTGTGTCAACAATAAATATATAAAAAATTATAGGGAAAAATCGAAATTAAAATAAAAAGTTGTTGCGTTGATTGATATGAATGTAACAATAAAATATTATCTATTAATACAATTTTCGTATTGTGTACAATGATGCGAAAAGTTATTTTATAAATTATTTATTATCAATCTTATACAAAATGTACATATAAATTATGAATAATGTACCTATATACTACTAAACACTGTAAATATAATATTACACATGTAACTGGGTTGTCAAACCCGTTAAATTCAAATAAATAAATAAACAAAAAACTGAATTTATAATCAATGTAGAGTTTATTGACTTTTTATATATTTTTTTGTTAAAAGTTTATTATACAGTTCGGTACTGTTATATGAGAAAATTAATCGTTGTAGTTAAAGCACGCATACTCGAGATACACTCGTTGTAGTACACCCTTGGGGAAATGAACGCACCGGGAACTTTAAAAGTTAGACGTTATTAATATACTGCCGACTCAGTAGTACAATGTCAAAATAAAAGTTTTAAACAAAAGCCGACGGTCGTGGGTTCGGAGCATGTAATTAAATACAAATTGAAAATTATTACATTAAAATAGATCTAGCGATTTATAAGAAAAAACGAATACGAGTTATAGAAAACTGGCAGGATTTTCTTTTTGGTGTTAGTTTATCAAAAACGGTCAATTTTTAAATTTTATTTCCAGACTTATTTTACTACTTCACTTTGCTGATTCAGTGTGCCTCATTCACTTCCATGTATGTTTTCTGGTCTTACAGTCAATTAATACCGAGTTATATATTTTCAAAACGCCACCTTTCTGTTGGGGGTGGGATAGTGTGTGAGATACAAATGTTGGAGATTGAGGTATTGAAGTATTAGACAGTGATACGGGGAATTGGATACATCCTGAATTACAGATAAGAAAATCAGGTGATGAGAGATAAATGATAACAAATTATTGATAAGAGACAGAATATCATGAGACACGTTGGCTATCCAACACGTATTTACTTCAAGGAGAAGATTGAATTTGTGTTTCTTTTATAACTATTATTATATTATTAAAATATTTTTGTTGAATGCACTCACCAAATACCATTGTTCTTTGAAAAGCGGGTCAGAAAATACATTATGGACGTTTCCGATGCGTCTGTACGATTGCTGTCCCTGGGCAAGAGGAGGTAATGGTCCACCAGACGTTTGCTGTTGGTAAAACTCAGGTCCGGCATAAACCGTCGAGGGTAAGTTTGGTCCAGAAAAATCGCGTTTTCGCCTTTTTTTCTCATGTTGTTGCTGCACCCAATGTACCTAAAAAAACAAACAAAAAATAAAAACCTTAAAATAATCCCTAGGAAACGACTGATTAATTAAAAATGTGTGACCTTATAAATGTTTCTATAACACGTGACTGCAATGTATGCACAAATTAATTAACACTAGACATCAGAATTTTATTCAAATTTACCCACTTGATATATATATATATATATATCAAGTGGGTAAATATATATATATATAGTAAATAAAGGATATCAAGATGTTAATTTTATCAAACTTCCGTTAAAAATTCAGTTATCTTAATTAAACTTACTATTTTATAACGATGTACTTTAATTTACTAGCGATACTGAAATCAACAATAAATAATAATAATAATAGACATAATATACATTTAGTTTCATTAATCTAAAACTGAGAGAAAAATAAGATAAAGTCTGTCTTATATTGCAAATACGTTTTCTGAAGGAAATTTCCATACAATTTAAACGATTAAATAAATAACATAAGCTAGGTACATTATAAACATGAAAATAATTTTGATCTTAATTTTGCATATTTCCTTCTAAAGCATACTTAAGATTTTAACCCTAAACTAGCTCTGCTTAGATTTATGATGGGTAAGTATCCGGATTTGTCCGAATTCTAACATCCAGATTTTTTATTTTAAAATCCGGATTATTCTGCAATTCCAGATATTGGATTTTTAAATCTTCATTTTGGACTTTTTAATTAATATTTTGTAATGAAACAATTTTAACAAACGATAAAATAACTTTGAGTTTATAAATAAATATAACGTTACACGTGTACTGTTTTTGATAAAATTTAAATTTAAATACCTAAAATTCTATTTTCAAACACAAAATTAAAATTTTTGGAATAACAAATCCGGATTTGTCACATCACTACGTTAAATAGCATCCTGTTTGTTTGAAACCCAAAATGTTTATATTCCTCTTGGAAATACATTTGTCACGTTTTTTAACACCAAAGTCTATCGATACCAAAACGGTCTTTGGTAACGATGCACAAGCGATGCATCGTTATTATTTTGTGTAACCGGCAGTCATGTTATTTAATATCAATAGTAAAAATTGTTTTTTTTTTCAAAGCATCTAAGATCAAAAAAAAAAAAAAAATCACAGTGATACATTTAATAATATAATTATAATATGCTCACGCACGGTCCGATGCGTTAACATTTTGGAAAACAATATAAAATATATATAATTTAAAAGGAGCTATATAGTATGGTTGTTTTTTTGACGTTGCAGAATTATAGGGACTTTACCAATGGTGTGCGACAACTTTAACTGTACACATCTCGAGTGCACTCAACATCTCGGTCGATGTGTTTCTACTATATATATATATATACGTTTAAACAATGTAATTCGTTTATTTTTTTCACAGAATTTCAGTGTGTGTGGGTGGGTGTAAAACGACGCACGAGTTTACGCATCGGTGAACGGTGCTAAAGGTTTTATTTTTATCACAACCCGGTTAGAAAATTGTTTTTTTCATATTTCTCAACAATATAATATAATATAATATAATATACGATTCCTATTCGAGAACGCACACAAAAATGCATATTCTTCTCTTTTCTAATATTACTCGCATAGGGAGTACATTTATATAATATTATATCCAGGAACAATACGGTTAAGTTAGATGTTTTATACAATTCTTTTGAGAATGAATAATATTTTATAATGGAAAATAAAACGGCGCAATTGATTTCTGAGCGCTATAGAATTGCAGTTCAAACTACAAAAGCAGAAAAAGATTTCCAACCTTTATGGTTACTTCTTAATTAAAAAAAAATAAGTCTTACATGTTATAGCACCATTCTAGGACTACTATATGAAATCTTAAATTTGTATATTGTACATTGCTTTACGCTCATTTTTTTTTTGTTTTACACAATGTAAAAATGGTTTTCACTAACAGGTCTTAATTGTTGCATTTCATTAGACTTTTAGTCCTAGAATTTATTTTAACCTAGCCTAACCTAATCTGAATTTGTAGTGACAAAATTTTAGATAATATTTAAAATCTAAAACGACGAAAGTAAAATAAAAAATACAAAATTCAAAATTGCTTACAAGTTTAACGTTTAATTGATTAAACATGACAAAATATGGTTGATGGGTTTGCCATGCTGGTTTATACTATGCTTGGTTTAAACTGAACTACATTAGATAAACTGGGCTAGTTTCTTATGCTATTCGCAGTATTAACGGCAATTAAAAAATTGCCTTGACACATATCTGTCTAGTGAATTAAAAACGACGTAACGTGATGATAAACAATAATTTTTGGATTATTAATCTCGACTTTATAAGCGATTTATAAGTGCACACTGATAGATGATAATATTAAACTATTATTATTATTACTATACACAAATTATAAATACATAATTTACAATAATAATGCATAATTTTTTTTTTTTTAATTGTTACTATATATAATATATAACAACTATAATCTCTGCGTACTGCAGTCTACTATTCGTTTATTTTCATACGTTACAGTCTATACTTTATTATTTACAATACAGTGAATCAAAAGTTTGAATTAAAAAATACAATATATTTTAACATTTTATTAATCATACCGCTAGAATTTTGAATTTTCCTACTTTTACAACAAGTAAGTACTAAAATAACACTGCAACATTTCACAGTTGGAACATTACTTTTATTTTCTATTAAAAATAAATAAACAAAATAATATCTACTTCTTAATTGAAAAGAATCCGTAATGAAACGTACAACGTTAAATTAAATTTTAGTTATATCTAATAAATTATCTTCGGTGGTTGGTCGCAGAGAATCTTGAATAAAAGAATATTATAACCGTTTTCTATTGGCAAAGATATATTATTATTTAAGATAGTTAAAACCGCAATTTTGCTACATCTAATTAGGTAAGAATGAATTAAAAAAAAAGGATCTACAATATATTCGTATATCGCAGGCATGTTAGGCTCGATCTTGACCGAACATTTAAGTATAAGTTTTATTCTTTAGTAGAAGTAGATAATGTTAGGACTAATTCATATTATTTTCACCTTAACGCACATGTTCAATTATATGTTAGAGATTTACCTACCAAAAAACCAGTTATGTGATTTTTTTATTTTATAGACAATATCATTTTTCCACTTATCATGCCCAAGCCCAAGTTGTTGATGTTACGTGACAATTTCTCCAAATCTGCCATGGATATGCTAAGTCAAAGGTAAAATCGATTGTGTTACATAGACACAATAGAAAATGTAATCTAATAAAACAAATAGCTAGTGCTATTAATTATATTATATTCGGTACTATTAATATATTACTATTTTAATAATATTTTAATATATTCTATGTTAGATTTTATATAGAAGTATGCAAAACCAGCTATGTGAAAAACGTCCCCACTACTCAAGACGTCATCGATTGTATTCCAGGATCGTTCGGGTTATTTTGTTATTCAGCGGTTAAAATCACAGAAGAAGTTTTTAAAGCTGCCGGTCAGTGTCATGTTTCATTTTATATGTATATATATATATTGGTTTTGGTTTGATTAGATAAAATAAAATAATTTATAGTCACTAGACTTTTTTTAATTATTAACGTTCCGTAATTATTTTTGTGCAAAAAATACATAAACTTGACGGTTAATTAAAATTTGTACAACATTTTTTTTTTCATAAAACAAACATAGTTACAATATATTACGGTCGATGACGTCTTTGTTTTAACTTGTACTTCAGATAATTTCACTTCCTGAGAGCAGAGAATAATTAAAATTCTCATAAAATTGTAACTTTTACAACTTTTACCGAATTTATTTTTTACTAGTTTTATTAGAGAAATCGTAACAAGGTAGGTACACTAGATATTTTAATAAATTGAATATTAAATACTTAAATTAATACACGATTCAGTGTGTACGAGGTGGGATGGTAATAATCGATAATTCTTGGATAACTGATAAAAGAATCAGCTGATAATAAATAATCGATAAGAGACAGAAAATCAGCCGATCAAAATAAGTATGTTTAAGATCCAATGTCTTTGTTCAAGGGGAAGATTGATTTTTTTTTTAGGGCCCAATTTCAAAGTCATTGGAACAATGTCTGTAGGATACGACCACGTAGATTTGTCGTTATTGAAAAAGTATAAAGTCCGTTTAGGTAATACGCCCGAAGTTGTAACCGAAGCAGTGGCAGAATTAGCCGTTGGTTTGTTAATTGCCACAACAAGGAGATTTTACGAAGTAAAACGAGAGGTCAAAAAGTACGACGTCCATCAGCAATTAAATATTATACAATTTAATGTATTTTTTTTGTTTTCTTTAGTGGTGGTTGGAAATCATGGAGCCCCAATTGGTTTTTAGGCTCAGGATTAGCAGGATCCACTGTGGGAATTATCGGTTACGGTAACATAGGAGCTTCCGTTGCTGAAAAACTAAGTTGTTTTAAAATTTCCGAACTACTTTATTATAGTCGGAGTGAAAAACCCGCGGGTGAGTCATAAAAAACAATGAATTTATATTATATCAAGGTGGTCCTTACGATACGATAACAACATTTTTTTCTCGTAACGTTTTAAAAAGAAAATAAATAGCTCTAACATTTTTTCAGATTTTTATACATTCCCCGAGTCTCCTTGTTTGCACATCTTATTTTTAATTTTATGGAAAATTATACTATTTTACACAAGTTCTAAACTATGCTTACCGCCAGCATAATCTTATGCAAAACCCAAATATATACCTGTCCAATATTTAAATGTTTGAATATAAATCCAATAATAGATTCGTGTGATTTTTCAACTTTTGTCGCCGAATAACAACCATGACTCATTTAAGAACAATCCAAACAGCAACCGATTTTATGCGGGATTCCTGCCGTCAAAAGTAATTCCCTCCGCATAGTTTACCCACCCATAAACTATGATTAGAGTGTCTCAGTAGACGGTTAGGTTATCTGTACATTTTAAAATAAACGATATTACTTAATAATTTCATACGAATTTATTGGGTATTTTCAATTATGCAGCGAAATCTCTTGGTGGAAAATTAGTGTCTGTCGACGAATTAGTCAAACTCAGCGATTACATAATAATTACAATTGCTTTGAACAAAGATACGGAATTCATTATGAATAGAGACCGGATTTTCAGTATGAAACCTACCGCTTTGTTGGTGAACGTCGGACGAGGAAGTAATGGGTCATAACTTGTATAATATTGTATTATAATACAACTACTACTACTACTACTATTTATAACTTGTATAATATAGTATATACAAAAATGTTAATGTTTAGAGCTCGTCGACCAAGATGCTCTGACCGAAGCTCTACAACGGAAATTTATCAGAGGAGCCGGCTTAGACGTCATGACACCTGAACCCTTGCCCCTTGACAACCCATTAATGAAGCTCGATAATTGTTGTAGGTGTTTATATTGTTTTTTTTTTTGCGATTTTTAACAAATGTTTTTATTATTTACAGTATTATTGCCACACGTCGGCAGTTCTACTGTCGAGACGGAAGCTTCAATGGCTATATTGACGGCGAAAAATATTTTGGCCGTTTTAGACAATACTCCTATGCCTAATGAAGTGAAATCCTAATCGATGTTTTTAAATTAATATTACATTATATATTAACCAGTGATACTTGCAAAAGAGCGTGTAAGAAACAAGGTACATCATTTTTTTATTTCGTCCCACTTAAATTCAAAAAGACGTTTTGTGTGAATGTGCAACGCTGCTATTGGCATTACATCATGTAAAATATTAAATCCTATCTGTACTTAAGTACTTAGTATTTTGTTTTGTTTTAATAAATCTCATTTTTTTTTTTATTAAATATAGGTACTAAAATAAAACTAGACATATAAATATAAACTACATTGGATCAATGTTTCAAAGCATATTAGAACCTATTAATGTATGTATTAAATAATAATAATTTCTGCTAAAGAAAATTTAAAACAATTTATTGGCTAAGAACCGTTTTTATACATTTAAAAAATGAGTATTGTTCACACAGTCAAAATTCGTGATAAAGTATTTTTAATTTTAATAAAGATATGTAAGTATTCGAAAATTGAGATATGAATACTTATTTTAATAATATTTATTTTCTCTGTGAAACCTTTGGTCACATTTCAAGTATAATTCCTACTACTATAATTTAAAATTAACCTTTTTAAGACGAATATTTCAAACAATTTTCGTTGGAAACTATTTGCAGGAAAACATAATTACACAACGTACCATTATAGAACGCACCTGCGCAGAAACCAAAGCGTAAACGCATACGAGTAACGCGTTTTGGTTTCTGCGCAGGTGCATTCTCTAGTGACACAGAGTTATGCAGCCCTACACGCACATTAATATTGACTCAATAAAAATATGTACTGAAAAAATAAAACAAACTTTATTGGAATTGTTTTGTACAATCCATCAAAATCTATTATGGGCCATCAATTAAAGTATAAACTAAGTACTAAGTACATGTAAAGGATGCCTTAAAATGATTACCTCTGATAAATGTCTTTATGGAAAATTTCAAAACAAAAGCGTTACAAACACAACCACCACTAACCAGCTAGAATGAAATGTTTCATAGAACAAATCGATTGTTCTTGTTACCGGCCGCCCTAACTTTTAAATTGCCTCCATTATTACTGTCGACCGCCGAAATCCATGGACCACATACATAACACCCACGTTTGGTCGTACAATCTCTAAATCCCGTTTTATACGATCCCTATAACGCTTTTTAGAGGTAATTTATAAAAATAATAAAAATCTTTAACGATTCAATTACATGTCGAAAAAGATTTTGTTTATTACGCCTATGACGCAAAATCGAGAAAATGTATTTTTTTCAAGGGGATTTTATTTTATGTGCACTCGCATTACGGGTTCTCAAACGCACATCCGAAAACTTCGATGGGCCGAAAAAATCATAACCAGAAATTTAGGAGGGGAAACTAATTACTATACTTAAGAATCAGAGCGCTTAATTTAATATTAAAATTGTTTAGCTCGTCAAATTTATAGCTAAAAAAATAAATAAAATATAAGAATACAAATAATATAAAATGTATTATGATTGCAGTTGCCTACACGGATTTATTTTTGGAAGAGGGAAAAAGAAGTATGGTGTCACAAAAAACATTACAAAAATATAATATAAGTATTACATAGCTATGCGGTAACCCACATGGCAGTTTAGTTTCTTAGCTTCAATTCGGAGGCAAAAAAAATCGTAATTTACAATAATATTAAATTTTTTTAAATGTATTTTTTGTTTCGTACTATGATAACTTTTCAACCGATGAATCGATTTCTTTATTATATATTATACATATTATACTAACTTTATACGTAATATGACTGTTAGTACTACAGCTTACCCATTTAATTTATAGTAACCTATTCAAATAAGAAATCCCTAAAATGTCTGACCTCTAGCTCAACGCCATGTACGCCACGGATTACGTGAATATGTTTATTGCATTTGATTAAAATAGGAAATTGTAATTTTTAATTTAAAAAAAAAAAAAAATACATTAAAGCTAAGATATGACACTACAAATTTTCCTTCGATATTTCGTGATACGTTTATTTGGGATGTTATCAAGTTTTATTAGTTTTATCAGTTGGATTGTTTACGTTTTCAGGCAATTGTGTTGCTCTAATGGGGAGTGCACTATCTGGTTTATGTGGCAGTATAATATAACGAATGTCATGTACTGACACGATGTAATAATAATAATAATATATTTACGGGTTAACAATAAAGGGGCTGTACAAAAGCGACCTCGGGGAGGGGACATTTTTGGCGTTGTTTCGAAATGAAAATATGCAAACACCCTGAACGAAACCCGGCCATCCGCGATAATGGTATGATCCGTCGTCGGTGGTGGAGGAATTTTCGCAAACCCCAAATCTACGAAGCCCCGGGAAAATTGTACCGCACGTTGCCAGTCGACGACAAGAGAGACCTGTGCTCTTCTCCTGTCGTAAATCCTCTGCGGTGGTGGTGGTGGTGGTCGCAGTCGTTTGCACATCATTTATTTCCTCGTGCGACTGCTGTGGTGGTGAACGGCATTGTGCCAGAACGCCCGCGGTTTAGTAGGCGACGGAAACCGGAGAAAACAAGCCTGACGACGAGCTGCAAATCGCGGAGGTTAGGGTTGGCGGCGGTAATGAACCGGAAAATAACACAGGACAGGATAGTGAAAAAAATATTTTCCATACGCACGATCGTGACCGACCTAGTATTTATACTTAAACGTATATATATTATTCCGGCGGCTTCGCGATAGAGTGAAAATAAATTCAACAGACCTGTATAACATCATAATAAAATGCTCCGTACTCGGTGACGAAGTAATCGAGAAGGTATAGGTTGTTAAACGCTGCACAGCGAATTCCGTATCAATTACATACACATAATAAATAAATTCCAATTGGAAACGACAATATGATAGCTGGTGAGTCGTAACTTGTTTCGTATCGCACGCTTGCAGTAGTTAAACAAATTTAGTATATATACTAGAGAAATGTAGTTTAGTCATTCTGGTCACATTGCAGCTCATTCACCGTTTTTCGCATACCTATTTCATAATATTTTACTTATTGTAAACTAAACCTTCCGCCCGCGGACCCGGTATTATTCATAGGAATTTGGCTCAACAAAAATTACCCTCCGGCAGCCGATACGAATCGCATTAAAATATTTACAATCCGTAATTGAAAATTAATTTTGCACGAAGGTGGAAGTTTATCCGAAAATACCACCGTTGCGGTTTACATATATTATTATTATATAGCATTGAAACTGTCGAGCACACGTCGAGATCGGTTGAAACCAACGGGGAGTTCTAAAATAGTTTGAAATTTTCCACAACGAAGAATGCTTTTGACAGAAAATGCAATAGTACTAAAATAAAAAACCTACCATCGCGTTTGAAGACTGATAAAAGACTTAAGTTAATTTCGTCAAAATCGATAAGCAGCGATTTATAATTGTTTATTATTACTTGTCAAGTAAGTATTAGTCTTTTATAAGTAGCATAATTTATAAAAATATATTTTAGATTCCCGCTGTCAACAGAAGCAACGCCTATCTGTATATCTTAAACTTAATCATTATGCCCAACAAGTCTCGGAAGTAGTATTTTTGTTAGTTTCACCATTCTATCTAATATCGTTGGATAAAACGTGACACGCGGAATTTGTTTTGCACATTTTTATATTATTTTTTTACTCGAATTTTTACAAGTTTAAGTATTGCTAGCTTGGATACCGATGTATACTATACGAATTCCAAACCAAACAATAAAGTAGTCTACACGCTGATTCCACTTGGCTAGCGATGTCGTTTTTATTTGTATTATTTTCTGCACACTTGTTGTTCATAACCGTCATAAAACTTTTCACCTCGAAAAAAAATGCCAAGTTCGCTTCCGGTTACAAGCCGTCTTTCTAAGAATGTATAATACACTAGAGAGTTTCCGGGTTTTTGACGATATAATATAATATTAATACGGCTTTCGTTGTGAACAAGCGTTATCGCGTCGGTCCGGCCTAGTATATTATTTATCTAGCCGAAAAAATGTGTTTATAGTGGGGGGGGGCTACATATAGTTAAATAAGCAAAACAAACCAAATTGCCTTTCCGGTCGAAATGACAATTCACAGTGCAACCAGTCGTAGTTGTCCGCGGGGAAAACAAATAAAAAATATCCTGACCGATTAAAAAAATCCTCACCAACAATTTAATACTATATTATTATGTGATGCACGGCGCAGTAGATAGGCAAATCGCGTACGCGCGTGTCTAGATAACATGTGCGCAAAATAACTCTAACCGATTTATACAAAATATAATATTATAATACTATATGAATAAAAATCACATTAAGAGGTCTTGTTCGTAAAACTAAATTTTATAGGAGACCCAAAAACCTGTTTAGACAAGACTGGGTAGAACAAGCTGTAAAAACGAATATATCACCTCATTATTCACCTTTTGTACAATAAATATTCCCTCGATAACTTTAAAAAAAACATATGTGTCGTTGGCAGCCAATTTTCATTAGCAGACGCATCCCCTTTCTAAACTTAACAAATTTTAATTGCATTTAACATACAAGAGATTGTAAATAAAAATATAATTTTAATTGAAGAACTCGGAAGAACAACCGGATAAGTCTATTACATGTATATAGTTTAAGAAAAAGTGTATAGAATTTATATACTAAAATGTAACTTAGTCAAGTAGCCAAAGAACTCTGTAGTCAACATTTTGTTAGGCTTTTCGGTCTAAAGCATACAAAAAAAAACCGCTTTCAATAAAATCTGCCTGGTGAGGGGTGTGTGCAAAACACCGTCGTTATGATAATTATTTGCTCCGGGGCACTTGTATAAAATAATAATAATAATATTAATATAGTATAATAGTCGAGTAATGAACATTCCAGCGGACCACGGCAACATATGTGCACCCCGAAGAGTTGATATATTTTTGCCAACCCTACACCCCGAAAGACAAGATGGCACGTGTGGATTCAATGTGTGATTCATTGTACTTATATAAGTTGGCATTAAAAACGTTTTAAGAAGGACCATTTATTAAATGTAAAATTGACACGAGTGATGCTCGAATAATAAAATTAACTATTGTTAGAAGATTAAAAATCACCAAAAACTAGATTGACATATTTTTCTAAAATTACGTTATTACGAAAAAAACTGTTATTTATTTCTAAAATATTAAAAATAAATTCAATGTAAGGATACCACTAATTTTAGAATACAACTATATTCCAAAATGATATGTCACATGCTTATAAGTAAATGTTGAGTACATGCCAAAGAAATATTGTATAGCAGCAAGTCAAAAAAATGTGCTACAATCTAATGAGATTTTTTTCTCTAGATTTCAAAGCTATCATTATTGTTTCATGTTATTGAATGAACATTGAATTGTATTTTAATTATCTTGAGATTAAAAAAAAAACGAACAACAAAATACCTTGTAAGTATACACAAGGCAACATTTATATCTAATTAATGGTATCTCGACAGGAACGACGGGCAGAGGCTATATAATGAGTAAAAACGCTAGGGAATTTAATTTCTTCACTTTTTTGTGTGTCGTTATTTATTTAGCTCACATTTCTCCCGTCTATTCGTGTTCCGAGAAACCCATCTCTCTAATAAAAAATTATAATTGTATTTTTAAGGTACGACCATCTCTGAAAAGCGATATTAAAATACGTGGAACACTTGATAATATTTTGCTATTGTGTTTTCTTTTTCTTTTAAATGGCGAAAGATGGTAAAAATTATTTTTGCGTGATAATAAAACACATTGTTATTATGTAAGGACTATCCGTGTTAACTATTTAGTTACTACTTTTGTTATGGTCCGTACAACTATTTACACAGACATGAATAAAAGTAAAAACGTTTTTCTACCAGTCGGAAGACTTGGATTTACTCATTTTGGATAAGATTTCGTGTAAAAAAAAAATAAATGCATCTACAAAACATTAAATTAACTAGATTTGACAAAATTGTCAGTAAAAAATACTATTTACACAATTAAATAATCTACTACATAATAGAATACCCTTTTTTTTTAGTGATGTAAATAAGTATTTAATTAAACAATATTTCCTCAAAGTGATTAAAAATCAAAACTAAATATAAAAATATCATTAAAATAATAAAACCTTAAATTCTTATAGTCGATTTTTTTTTACTCCGAAGCAAAATTGTTCCGTGCAATATATGAATATATAGTTTGTACTCTTCACTTTATGGATTCTTTTAATTTAGGCGAGCTCCTCCTAATCTTACACGGAAAAGCTTTTCACGTCGAAATAATTCCTAGTTCATATTATATTAGACTATGTTAAATGAAGTAATCCAATAATGTAGAGCTGATTATGGAAATTGGAAACCATTGTAAATGCATTGTGGAATATACAAATATGTATTTCAATAGAAATATAAAATAGAAACTCAGTTATCTCTTAAAACGCTATATTGTGACTAACTAGTTATCAACCATCAAGTATAATATGCTAACATACGCTCATCGCTCATGGAATAGAGAAATATAATATTGATATTCGACTTTTAATAGTTACCTTTTTAAAACTACTCCTCAGACAAGTGTTTATCACATAAATATTGAGCAGAATTTTTCGATCGTCCGGTATAGTGATAACTATTTAATTCGAACCGTTTATTTATGGGCGACGCACTTAAATATTTCTCAGACAAAACATTATTGCTGTAACGTAATCTTTTAGTAACCCTGTACATAAAAAAAAAACCCAGCAGCGACAATATTACAGTGTGTGCGCGTGTGTAAAGCGAATTATCGTACATTTTCGAAGTGCGGTTTTTCCATAAAAATATAATAATACATTAAACGCGAACCTTTGGCGCGAATTCTCGGAAACGAAGATCGACGCTTTCGCCCCCGTCCGC